TATTTCCAACTTTTGAAGGAATCGCCATACTGCTTTCCACAATGGTTGTACCATTTTACAGTCCCACCAGCAGTGTATGAGAGTCCCAATCTCTCCACAATCGAGGTGCTTTTTTAATGTTACTCTTTTGATTTTAGGATCCTTGTGAGGAGAATTCTCAGATCCCGAAAATCAGGTACATGTTAAAGATTTTTTTAATTTTATTTTTAAATTACCCATGGGGTAAACTGTCCAAAAGAAATCAGGATTAAGCAAATAGTTGTTTTGGGTTAAGAGGTGATTCAGTTAGTGTAGTTGATGAAGATTGAAAATTCTTCTCGGCAGTTAATTCCTGCTCTGAAATTGGCTTTTTTCTCATTTCCCGCCTTGACCCCCGGCTCTCGTTCACTGTAGATCCTGTAAACCCCATCGGATTCAGAACACCAGTGTCAGTCCCTGTTAGAGCAGTGGCATTGAAGTTCAGCTACCTTTTGTTTAAAATCTGTGATAGGTCTGGATCATCAAGGAATTTGAATTAGTACTGAGCTCAGCTAATCAACTGCTACCGTTAGCTATCCTTACTATTCCTGCCTTAAAAATGGATGATAACTTCGCCTTAGAATATTGGTAAGGTGCCTGAAATTAGCATGGTGATCCTTTTGCAATCTTTATCACACTGTAGATTCACTTAGCAAACATTTCTTCATGAAGATTAGAGTATTTCATTTTAGGGCATCTTTTCTCAAGTGTCACAACTTAGTGGAACCCAAATGAATGAGGTCTGTGAGGCTGGTGACTCCGTGACCATGAATGATCCCTGGAAACTTTGATCCTCCCGTGTCTTGATGGTGATTCATTAAATATGTGTGTTTACCCTTGAGGTCAAGAGAAGTGGACTTGGAAGCACAAACCTCACGCTACTTAAATGAATTTGAAGAGCTCACCATCTTGGGGAGAGGCGGCTACGGAAGGGTATACAAGGTGGTCTTCTACGTACTTTTTCCAACCTATCACTCTGTAAAGAAGCTTTTTTTTTTTTAAAAAAGAAAGTGATTTGGGTGGAAACTTACAGAGCAAATTCATTTTCCATACAGCAGTGCATACGTGTTTTGTCTCATGACATTGACTGCAGTTCCCCACAGTGTAACAGCTCTCTTCCCACTTCCTCCCTGCTGTTACCTCTTCCCTGTGTCCTTCGCTCCCATGCACTCTCGTCCCCCGGGCTGTCTGCCTGTGCAAACACTGTCCTTCTGCTCTCCCACAATTGATCGTTCTGAGGCATATATCTACCTGATGTAAACGTTCACCCCATATGCCTGTCTGTTGTCTGGCTGGGACCCACAAGAGACAGCTCAGTTCCAGACCTGAAGGGTGACCAGGGGCTGTAGTCTTGGGGGTCTCACCAGGTCTCACCTCTCTCTTTGAGAGTCTGTCTTCACTATCGATAGACTCGAAGGGCAAATCCTAGAAAGCAGGCACATTTCTTTTTTCATTAAGATTTGTTATTTATAGAGAAGGGGACAGGTTTTATTTTATTTTAATGATGTTGGTTTTAACGTGGATCCTGGAAACTTTGAGTTTTTTGGTTTTAGAGTTTATTTTTTTTTAATGTGTTTGGAAACAGGTATTTGAGAGTGTTTTGGGCTTTTCACTGCCCTTTTCTAAGGGCCCTCGTCTTCAAAGCTGACCTTCTAGGTTGGGCTTTCAGTGGGGTCAAGCTTCTGCTTGAGCTCAGACAGGATGATGTCCCTGAACCTAGTAAAAAAGACACTTTTTTTTTGCTTTTAGCTGGACTTGATAGTGGGTGGCTTAGTTGATCTAAGCTCAGATTGAAAGGACTTTCTTCATTCATTTAGAATTTATTGACAGCAGGTAATTTTGGTTTTTCCTATACTTTTTAGGTCAGGAATAAATTAGATGGCCAGCATTATGCAATTAAAAAGATCCTGATTAAGGGTGCAACTAAAACAGATTGCATGAAGGTAAGATATTTTAAAATTACTTATTTTGAATAGTTGACTATTTTTGTCCTTTGTATTTTAATTATTTATTATGATCTGGGTGAAAGCTAACAGCAAATTTGTTTTCCATTCAACAGTTCATACGCATTCTGTTTCATGACGTTGACTGCAGTCCCCACCATGTAACATCTCTCTTCCCACTTCCTCCCCGTGATTACCTCTTGCATGTGTCCTCCTTTCTTATACGTCCCTCCTCTGAGCTATTTGCCTGCACAAATAATGTCCTTCTGTTCTCCATGTTGATCCTTTTAAAAGAATTGGGTGTGTAAGTGTGTGTAAGTGGTGTGAATTGCCAGTTGGCTAAGAATGACAGGAAAATACAGTAAACAGAAAACCCCAATTCTTATTTAGCTTCTTTTTTTTTTGGTGGGCATTTCAGACTGACCACATTTCAAGGTCATTGCTGGGGAAATTAATTTTTAGGTAAATGATTACAGTGTGACTTGTTACCAAGAACACAAGCCCACATCTGTTTTCTCCCTGACACGCTGTGTGGTGCTGGGCAGAAGATGACCTCTCTGAGCTGCCTCTGCCTGTGGGAGTGGCGACCTTGAGAGAATGATAACTAAGCTGTGTAAAGCATAAAACACTGTATAAGAATGTAGTTGTTTACTTGTTGTAATTGCCATTTGTCTCTCTCAAAAAATATTCCAATTTCTTTAATGTAGTTTAGATTTCTTATAAAGAAGAGTTTCATTATCCATTTGCTCTGGAACAAGTAGTATTTGGTACCACGAACTGGGTGTCCCTGCATGACGCACTCCTAGCCAAAAGGTTGGCAGTTTGAACTCACCAGAAGTACCTTGGAAGACAGGCCTAGCAGTCTGCCTCTGAAAAGGTCGCAGCCTTGAACACCATTGGCACACAGTTCTCCTTTGCACATGTGGGGTCACCTTGAGTCACATCAACTTGATGGCAGCTGACAAGTTGTCAGTAAAAGACAGATCAAAGCTCATTTCCTTTTAGGTGCTACGGGAAGTGAAGGTGCTGGCGGGCCTGCAGCATCCTAACATTGTAGGCTACCACACCGCCTGGATAGAACATGTACACGTGGCCACGCCACAAGGTAAGCAGCTTTGATGATACAGATCGGGGTTGTCAAACCACGGCCCGTGGGCCACATCCAGCCGACTGCCTGTTTTTGTGCATCCCACAGGCTGAGGATGGTTTTTATATTTCCAGATGGTTTACATAAAAAGAAGAAGATTTAGTGGAAATGAAATGAAATTCAAATTTCAGTGTCAATAGATCAGGTTTATTGGAACACAGTGTTGCACGTCTTCATTGATGTTCTGTCGGTGGCAGCTCCGGCACTCACTGGTGCAGCAGGGTCTTGTAGAGCTCACAAAACCTGAAGCGCTGGCTGTGGGGTCCTTTACCAAAAATGATCCCAACGCCTGGTGTCATAGAGCAGGAGAAAGAGATGCCCATTTCCGTAAGTATTTTCAGCCTGGAAATGCTATGGGGCTGTTCTCCTCCGTCCTTGCAGGGTTGCTATGAGTCAGAATCATCTCAATGGCAGTGGATTTGTAAAATTTTATTTTAGTATAGTTTTACGGTTCTGTTTTTATAGTTTCAAAAATACACCAGTCATTTGAACATGCTGCTTGTATTGTACTTTGCAGGAAGGGTAAGCCGTAGTTAGTTCTCGTTTGGTAGTATGTGGGTATTTTACCTCTGCCTCTGACCTCTAGACTGGAAGGTTGAGCCGCTGAAGGTTGTTCTTGTTTGTTTTTGTTCTGCAGTCAGAGGTCCTATTCAGTTGCCATCTCTGGAGGTGCTTTCCAATCTGGAAGATGACAGGTATGGGGACTGGGGTATCCTTTACGTGGCAGATGTCACCCACAGTCACTCACTGGGCTTCCTTTGTCTTTGCTGCGAGAAGCTGATTTTTATTTCAGAATGTTGAGTTAGTTCCTCCTCTCATATATTTCTTGTCCGTGTGTTTTGAGGACCCATTAGTCTGGTTGGTTGGTGTCTGTGCTTTGATTCTAACATCAGATAATCCGTTGTTAGAAGGGAGGCCCAAAAGCCTTTCCCCATCCCTATATTTTCTTCTAAGAATTCTGTGGTTTGAGTTTTCACGTTTAGATCTTTAATTCATCTTGAATTTGTTTTTGTGTATTTTAAATAAAATTTGCTGCTGGGCAGGTGTGTATCATTTTTTTCAGGAGCTTACCAATAAAATTCATTTCAGGCCTGAATGAAAGAACCAGTTGAGTTATTGTTGATCTATTTCTTTCTTTTTTAATGTTTTAACTTTTTATTTGAAATAATTTTAGAATTAGCAAAAAGTTGCAAAAGTAGTACTGAGTGTATGTACCCTTTACCCAGCTTCCCCTAATGTTAGCAGGCTGCAGAACCTTAGTGCAGTTCCCAAATTGACCTGGGTAAACTCACATACTAGATGCCATTAAGGCTGTTCCAACTCAGGTTGACCCTGTGTGTGTCAGTAAAGAACGCGCTCTGAAGGGGTTTCAGGACTGGTTTTTCAGGAGGTCACCAGGCCTTTCTTAGGAGCCTCTGGGTGGACTCGGACCTCCAGCCTTTCGGTTAGCAGCTGAGTGCTTAACCGTTTACACCACCCCAGGGGCCAGGTTAACATAGGTCAAGACCATCACCTACAGACGCTTTGAGATTTCACCCGTTTTCCGTCTGAGGTCCCTTCTCTGGATCGCTCCTGCTTTTTGTTGTGGAGCCTCTTTCCTCCTCTCCACTCTGTGGTAGCTCCTCTGTCTGTCCTGTCTTTCTGGAATCTTCTGATGAGTACTGGTTGGGTGGTTTGCAGAGGGACTGGCTCTTGTGGTTTGCCTGATGTTTTTGCGTGACTGGTTCGAGGTTGGGTGTTGTTGCTGAGAGTGCCTCAGAGGTGATGTTGTATTCACTGCTTCCTCTCTTGACTTCCTTTTTCTCCAGAGATGAGTGTGGTGTCCAACATGGTAACAGTAGCAGCTCATCCATTGTCTTTGCTGACTTAACCTCAGACAAAGAAAAAGCCTTTGGAGAATCTGACTTTGAAAATCAGAACAACATGCTGGTGAACTACACCACCAATTTAGTGACAAGAGATGCCAGTGGTTTTGGATCATCCATTGAGCTACGAGAAAATGGAATGTCAGCTGCTGGCCCTCAGCTGCCTCTCAGGCATCATTCAGATTTGGGGGAGAATTGCACCTCCTCCGAGGAATCTTCTGAAGAAAACTTGAACTTGTTTGGGCGGACAGAGGTAGATGACATTCCCAGAACCTACCAGTGTGACGCTTCCCATAGTCATGCATCAAGGACCCTCCTTCTTCCTCAGGTGGTTTCCCACCGTGCTGTCTCCCCGGCTGTGCGCCAGCTTCTTGGCCCTTCTGCTCAGTTTCATTCTGTCCATCTTCCCTCTCACCATGGGGCCTTCCGTTTTGCTCTTCTGCTCATCCTTTTCTGACCTCCTGCCTGCGTCATTTTCTCTTTAGATGTTTTCATAGCTGTATTCTCTCGTGTTGCAAAAACCGCTCACATTCTGTTGCTGTCTGTACTGTAATGCTATAGAAGGTATAATGCAGAGAGGTCCTGTGTTTTGCATTTCGGTTTTAGGAGCGCGCCCGGTGGGATTGCTAGATCATTTTTTAGGATGCTGTTCTGAAGGTTGGACGGCCATGCTGTGAGACTCCCATCACGCTCTCACCAGTATTAAGTATTAGCATTAAAACCTTGACTGTTGGCTGGGTCTGCACATGACCTGTTGTGTCAGGATTACACGACGGTATCCCTGACTTGTGACACGATTCTGTTTTGACCATTCCATTGTAAGTCGGTTCTGATGTACATCAGATACTTTTCCTTTTTTCAGTTTTCATTATTATTGCCCTTTTATTATCATTGTCCTCATAAATTCGATCTTTGTCTTTGGGGTTGGAACAGTTTGACTTCAAATTAACAGGTGATACTTCAGATGGTACGAAGCGCTGCATACAGTCACGCTTAGGTGTGGTCTGTGGTGAAGTTGGCTTCAGTGCTATTAACAGTGAAGTGGGAGTGGGCTGTCACGTCGTTGGAGTTGAACATCTCCCAGGTTCCTGTCCATTATGACTCTCGACACCAACTTCACTGTAGACCAGGCGACAGTCTGCTACATGGCTGTGCTCTGTACCATTAATCCTAATGCTGGACATCTGTGAGTAAACCTCTGAGAATGATGACATCAGTGATTACACACTGTGGCATTGTATGTGTACCCATTACTAACGATTAGTGTACAACTGCTCCCCCAAAAAAAGCAAACGGATGGTGGTAAGTGTGGTTAGTCATAACTCAAAGACGTCTTAAGTCAGGGCTGCCTTTACTGACTATAGATACAGAACACAGACCTCCTTCTTGTCGTTAAGGAATTCATGTGTCTTTATGCGTATGTTTGTTTAAAATACACAGACTCACACAGGCTTACCTAAATTCAGAGGAGTTGAATTTGGGAGACTTTTCATCTCAGTCATTTCATTGATCTATATTGTATTTGGGAAATTCTCCTGCCTACTAAAATAAATGGGCTGCAGTGAGCTTAACCTGTGATTGCCTTCTCCTTGATCATGTTATTAGTACAATGTGAAGCCAACCAAAGTAAACACGGTCTTGTCTGCATGCACTCGTGGAGTACCCTACCACCTGACTCAGCTGTTCTTTGATGTTTTATCCCAGCTTTAAAAACTCTTTCTGTAGTGAGCAGCCGGTTTCAGGCTCCACTCCTCAGTGTCACATTTGAGGCTTCTGCCACCTAGCCCCTGACTAACTCTAGCGTGGCCTATGACACTGTGTTTTATTAAAATTATTTTTTATTTCAGAAAAAAAAACTATTTTTTCTGTTAGTGGTTGCTTTAAGGGTCAGTGCGGTGACATTCAGAACAATTTGTACACCATTTTTAATTTATGCACCACGTATCTAAAAAGTCACGCAGTTTTCGTTCTTTTCTCATTTCTCGTGGCTTTCCAGCTTTAAATTTCAAGGCAAATTTCCCTTAAGGAGGTTATCAAGTACCACTATCTTCAGTTGTTGATAAGCTGTTACATTCTAAGTCCCACTAGTTCACAATTTAATGTCACACACAGTGCACACTCAAATGTTCACCTTTTCACAGCATGTAAAACAGTGATAAGGGAAACTGGATGCCACAACCAAACAGGTGCTCACAATTCTGATAGGAAGAGCCATGATGAGCGGTTTCCCTTAAGAAATGATCCTACTGAAAAACAACACGGAGACAGAACGTGAAATGTTTGAGTCACATAAACGCACGACTGAGACTCCAAACTGCCATTAAGTGTGCTGTGTATGTGACACTGGGTTCCAATTACGGCTTTACTGCTCTGTCCCCGTCACTAGACTTTGGGCCTCTGGGGCAGGCCTGTGTCCACCGGCTCTGTCTCGGTGGTCAGCGCAGTGCTGGCTGGTGCAGGCGCGCGAGGGTTTGCTGACTCGGTGACTGACGTGAGTGCCCGCGGTGTGTCGTCCGCAGGTGCAGTACCACCTGATGCTGCACATCCAGATGCAGCTGTGTGAGCTCTCGCTGTGGGACTGGATCACCACGAGGAACAGGAGGGGCCGGGAGAGCACAGACCAGGCGACCTGTAAGTGCCCCGCTGCTGAATGAAGACGGCTTCCGAGCTGCTTCATCTGGAGGCAGTGCCTCCAGGTGCTTCAGATTAATGTGAAAAAATAAAGAAGAAAGCAATTGCTCTTCTTCCAGCATTTGCTAAAAACAGATATTTAAACTTTGATTTAATTTTTTCTGATAGGGTACATATTTTATTATTTTTTAACCTGAAAATGCAGTTTATAGAAAGAAGTTCTTCATGGAAGGGTGTGTGGTGAGAAGTTTGTCTCCCTTAAAACCCAGACCGCCCCCCCCCCCGCCTCCAGTTATAATAATCCTAGAAATATCATTAGGCAGTTGTTGGTGTTTGGACTTCCTTTTTGGAAAGTCAGTGATGGGTCCTTCATGATATATGAGATGCATGGTCAACTCCCCGAAACACTGAAGGCAAAGGGGGTGTGCTACTACTAGCATGATGTCAGTTTCTCTTACTAGAACATCTGAAATGAAACTGTTCTGATTTTGTAGTATTCTAGCACTGTGCTGCTGGCTTTCCTTCAGTGATTAGATTTTTCACTTTTAGTCAGTCCCAACAGTCCCGTGAATGAAGACCTGGCTCTAGCGTGGCACAGCCGTGAGGTCTGGGGCAGGTCAGGGAATGTTCAGTTGGCTTTCTCACCTATGGAGTGTGGAGCAGGCTTCTTTGGGGTTGTCGAGAGGATGTGGTATGGTGTGAAGGACACAGCACACAGCCTGTATAGAAGATACCGAGGGCGCTGGAACTGTTATCCTTGGCTCGGCTCAGGATGTGGTTACTGAGTGCTCCAGCATTTCCCACTGGTTGGATGTTTTAAGGCGCCCTGGTGATATAGTGGTTAAATGTTCAGCTGCTAACTGAAAGGTAAGTGGTTTGAAACTACCAGCTGCTCCACAGGAGGAAAATGTGATAGTTTGCTTTCATAAAGATATGGCCTAGGAGGACCAGCGGGCCGTCTTAACTCTGTCCCATAGTGTCTCTGAGTTGGAATTGACTCACTGTCGGTGGGTTTGTTTTTTGGTTTTTTGGGTGCATCAGGTGGGTTATTTTGGAGACAGACCAAAGGGAGGCAGTGACTCTGAATAGTTGTGCATTGCCACCAGCCACACAGGAAGTTATTCATGTCAGCATGGGGGGCAGTCATGTTAGGGTGTCTGTCAGTGGAACCATCGATGAAGTGTGTGTGTGCACACCCCCACACACATGCCTAGGTACTTGAGATCCTTAACTTAGATACCCAGGTAGCGTAAGAGAGGACTATCTTAGTTTGTTCTCTGTAAGGAATAGGTTTGAACTTTATAACAAAGTTGTGTTAGGTGCCACCAAGTCGATTGAGACTCATTGTGATCCCATGTGACACAGTTAAGGGCTTGGTTGCTCACTGAAAGGTTGGTGGTTCAGACCCACCGAGCAGATCCGTGGGAGAAGGACAGGTGATCTGCTGCCATAAAGGTGACAGCCTAGGGGACACCATGGGGCAGTTCTGCTGTGTCACATGGGATCGCTGTGAGTCAGAATTGACTCCACGGCACCAACCAACAACCCCGCCGTGTTTGCTGAAAAGCTCCCTGTTCCGTAAGTGTCAGATGTTAACAAATTCAAAACTGTATTTACACGTAGATGTTAGTGCATTTGAGTAGAAAGAATTAGACAAAAAAAAAACTTACTCTTTTGCTTCCAGGTCCTTATGTTATGGTCAGTGTTGCTACAAAAATTTTTCAAGAATTGGTGGAAGGTGTGTTCTACATCCATAGCATGGGGGTTATGCACAGAGACCTGAAGGTAAGTGGGGCAGATGTATCACCAAGGGGGATGGCAGCTGCTGCTCAGGGGTGATGTGGCGTCAGGTCACGGACTCAGAGGTGGCTCTGTCTCCTCGCTTGTTCACCTCAGAGGCCGTTGTTCCTTTGACAGAAATGCTTGTTGCCCCATGGATGCAGAGCCTGGGAACCTTAGACTGCACTGGACCTTAGATTGAACTGGGTATTTGGAAGTTCTCTGGGGAGTATTAGTACTGGGTTTCGGGTAGGTATTAAGCGTGCCCTGGGGACGGATGCATGATGCTGACAGAAATGCTTTGGAGGCTCCTGTTGTGTTGCAGCCTTCCAAGTAGAATGAATTCCTGTAATTCTCTCTTGAAAAGGAAATTTGGAATGGGAAATTACACACTCAAAAAGAAATAGGCTTTTTAAAGTCTTTTTAAAAAAGCCATTGTTGTGTTTTTAAAAATCTGTAGTGACTATTCCAACTTTGACCCACAAAAGACTGTCAGGGGAGAGGGAGCAGATTTCTTTGATGACAATTTGAAAATAATTTGCTAACTTTCCAGGCAAAAATTAAATTGTCAAAAATGCATTTAATAGAAGATGAAGAACAAAAGAAAGTCAGTATTTAAATCGCTTTATTTTTCTCAGTCTGTTGAAGAATTGGTAGTTTGTATGTTTGGGGTGCACGAAGTGGTGGGCTGAATGTTTTTCTGAGTTCTTGTGTAGCGTTGAGCCTAGAGAATGTGAGTTTCTGAAACTCTACGGCACTGGGAAACGTCGAGGCCTTATTTCAGGAGGTAGGTGAAGTCTTGATAAGTGTATACAGAGTTCCATACCTTCCCTGGGAGAAGGCGTTTCAAGTGTTGTTTGTACTTCTCGCCGTAAACACTCCTGATGCTTCTTTTGCAGATGTCCCCTAGGGATGAGGGCTTTTGTGATAACTTGATGAGGGTTTCCCTTAAGAGATGGAATTCTGGTAGCATGAGCCCTGCAGGTAGGACTCCTTGGTGGTTGGTTAGCCTCAAAGGATAGGCGAGATCAAGGAGCCTGGCGAGAAGGGCCACGTCTCTGATGTTGGAGCTGCGCAGGAGGTACGTGTAGATCGGAGATTCCCCATTTCTTGTTAATATGTTTACATTTGCGTCAAATTCAAGCAGGAGGTTGATTATTGCCTCTCTGCCTCCAAAACATGCCTCGTGCATAGCGGTTTGGCCTTCGTGGTCCTGGGCGTTGACCTTGGCACCACTCATTAGGAGCAGACGGATGCAGCCGACGCCCGCTGCCAGCATCCGGCCGGCTTTGGTGGATGCGGCACACACTGCCAGCTTGAGGGCCGTGTTGCCCGTGGACGAGACTACACAGTTCACGTTGGCACCGCAGGCCACGAGCACCTCCATCATTTCCTTGTTGAGGATGTCTGCGGCCATGTGAAGGGGGGTCATGCTGGATTCATTAAGGGCATTGACGTGGGCCCCATTCTGGGCCAAGATGGAGAGAACCAGGTAGGTCCCGTAGGTTACGGCCATGTGCAGAGGTGAGTGCTTGTTGTTGTCGTCCACTCGGGCATTCACTTGCGCGCCATGTTTGCATAAGATGCGTAAACATGTGACAGCGTTGTTCTGAATCTCGGTCAGGATTGTCTGGATCCTGTTTCCTGGTATTGTCCACATGGTAAATGTGATTGGCCAATGCAGCAGCATCAGGTGGAGGGTGGTGAGGCCCCTTGTGTCCCTAGAATAGGTATTGATCATGCTTTACACCATGTTTGCATTTAGAATGGCTCTACATGAGAACAATGCTCCAAGGCAATGTTTATTTACAGCAGTTCCCTGCATTGCAGGGTTAGTTCTCAGGACGTCACAGTTTTGGGGGGACGGGGGAGTGGTGTGTGTCTCGGCATGGCGGGGTGTGGACCGGGTGCCGCACCTTCTAGCAGCCTGTCCCCTGTTTTTGCTCTCGCAAGGACTGTAGGCCCTTCATGGCTGTATCTTAGTTATCTGTCTCCCTTGCACAGTGCTGGGCCGATTGAGTGGGTTGTCAGTACAATTGTGCACAAACTCAGATGCCATCTAGTGCTGCGTTAGGACCAGCCTTGGAGGCCCGTTCAATCAGGTCTCTGTGGCTCTGCAGAGTCTCGGTGGTGCAAGGGGTTAATGTGCTTGACTGCTGAGCAAACGTTGGAGGCTCGGGTCTACCCAGACGTGACTCAGAAGAAGGGCCTGCTGTTTCTGAAGAATCAGCCACTGGAAACATTGTGGGGCACAGTTCTCTGACATGCACGCGGAGGTGGCAGGAATTACACTGACCGGATGCCACCTCGGTTAGCGGCACTGCCTTTGTGCTTTGACGCTTGGCTGCTTCATGTAGGTAGACTAGATGACGGGTTTGAGTCAGGAGCCCGAGGGTCCTTCTAAAGTCTGTGAAGCTGGGTGGCATGTGCACGCCCTTACCAGCAACACTGCTGACACCCCTCAGGACTGGCTCCAAAATGCCTTTATTTTGGCAGAAAAAAGGGGTAGGTTTGTTGTGAAGATGGGATTGTCCCGCTGCAAAAGGGAGGTGATTTTAGCTTATATGTGTGTTTATTCACTGAAAGACCCTGTGCTTGGGATGTGGTACAGCAATTAGTCCCTGCCAGTTCCGCCTTGGCAGAGCTTCCAACCAGTGTGGAAGACAGACAGGAAACATGGCTTAGCGACTGGAAGTGGTGGGCAAAGTTCTAGACAGGACCGGAAGTGTCACTCAGAGATGGCATGTGGATTGAGGGGTAGGAAAGAGTATACCAGGGAAGTCTGGGCTGGGGTGATGGGCAAGAGGACTCCCAGGTTGGCACTGGGGGAGCGGAGAGCCAGCCATGTCTGGCGGAGGCTTCTGGAGCGTGGAAAGGCCTTTGGGCTTCATTTTCCATTACATCGTGGAGTGAAGTTCTGTTTCTGTACCACATGGTTGTCTCGTTCAAGTGATTGTTACTGGGCACTTACTGGGAGGCATTGCCTGAGCTGGTGAACGTAGGAGGTAGAAGAAACCGGTCGCTGTCCACATAACTGCGACTCATGGTGGCCCCGAAAGTCTCAGAGTAAAACTGTGCCCGTAGCTTTTCAGTGGCTGACTGGCAGCCCTCTCATCTGAGGAACCTCTGAGTGGCCTCGCACCTGCAGACGTTTAGTCGGCAGTGAAGCGTGCTGACCGTTTGCATCGCCCAGGGACTCTGTTGTTAGGTGCTGTCAAGTCGGTTCCAACTCGTGGCAACAGAACGCAGCATTGCCCTGTCCTGCACCATCCCCCGAGTGTGGCTGTGCTGGAGCTCATTGTTGGCGACCACCATCAGTCCCTGTCATTGAGGTGGCCAGAGTGGTGAGCACATGGAGGTCCCTGTCGTGGAGCGTCCCTTCCTGCGGACTAGTGTCCCCACCTTCCGATAACAAACAAGAGAACCCACGGCCCATTTGTATTTTCTTCTTCTTAGACCTAACTTGGGAGCTCTGGTAGTGTAATGCCTAAGGCATTTGACTGCTAACCAGAAGGCTGGCAGTTCAAACCCACCAGCCACTCACTCCTCAGAAGGAAAGCTGGGCAATCTACTTCCGTAGAGATAAACCAAAAAAACTCACTGCTGTGGAGTCGGACTGATGCCTGGTGAGCCCTCCTTGGGTTTCTGAGGTGGTATCACTACGGAAGTAGATTGCCCAACCTTCCTTACGAGGAGTGGCTGGTGGGTTTGAACTGCCAGCCTTCTGGTTAGCAGTCAAATGCCTTAGGCCCTATGCTACCAGAGATACTGCCTTGGAAACCCAAGGAGGGGTCACTATGAGTCAAATTGACTCAATGGCAGTGAGGTTTTTTTTTCGAGACCTAATTTAGATTGCTAAACTCCTTGAGGTCAGTGACCATAACTTAGTCCGTTACCACGACATCTAGTACATGGTTGAGCACGTAGGATAGACTCGGTATGCTTCTGGTTGGTGGCCTGATTTCTGTTCTTGTGTCCTTTCAACAACTGAGAGTATCTCACACAGAAAGTAAAGGAATTGGTTCATTCAGAACGTGCTCATTTGTAGGTCATACGCCGTGAAGAATGAGTGCGTCTGGGCACAGCTGGAACAAGTAGCCCCTAAGGCAGGTGTGTTGTCAGTCGGAGTGATGGGCTGTCAGGAACCTTACCTGGCTTCCGGGTCAGCACCGTGCTGTAACAGACAGAGCAAGCTCTGGGCTTTGCGGTACTCCGCCGCCAGGTGAATGGGGATGATGGGCTGAGTCTGCTTCAGGCGAGAAAACAACAGACGTTAGAAGCAGCCCCGTAGCCACACATTACGGTGGTGGTAGCTCGCCATTTCGAAGGGAACTCGGATACCTAGTATCCAGTTGGTTCAGGCTTTTCTAGTAGGGATATTGAGATTTTCCTTTTCTTTTGCCTGTTTTCAGTGACCAAAAACCCAGTGAACTCCAAATGATAAAATCTGTGACTTACAGAAATGCAAATTTACAAGCTAACTTCCTCAACGCTTTGAGTTGATTCTTAGGAAGTGCTCTTAGTGTAAAATGAATGGTAACTGCTCTTAGGTCACTTCCGGTAGACCTTATCTAACCCCGGGGTGGTTGGGAAGCTGATGGTCTGGTTTTCAAGACTCCAGCAAAGTAGGGGATAACACTGTGTGTCAGTGATGGCTTTACAGCCTGACGGCAAAGGAGGAGAGAAGGCGTTGGAGAAGGGAGAGGGGAACTGCCAGTTTCTGGGTAAGAGAGTATGAGAGTAATGATCTTTGTAGACATTTAGAAAATAGACAGATGGGGGAATGTGGTCCCGGCACGCCAGCGGAACCACCATTGGTGTATCTGAGATGACATTAATATTCTTTCAGCCAGATGGGTTTGGTCTCTTGTTGGGTCAGGTGTGTGTGGTACCTGGAAGGGTGTGGTGTGCCTCACATGTCTTGCGGGTGTCGGGCCACCTCCTCGGAAGGTGGTTTAGTGAGTTCCTCGAAGGAGGTGGTTGCCTGCCCACACGTCCCAGGCTTGAGGGGAAGAGAGGGTACCTGGCTGAGGAGGAATCTGTGGCTGGTAGAGTCGGCCAGAACAGTGATGGGCTGGTTGACGGGGTGATCTCTCAGGAGCCCTTTGATCATGGTGCAGTCTTCTCTCAAGATGGCTTCATAGAGTTTGGTGTGAAGTGCCGCAGGCTGAGTGTCTTCCACTGTCGTGGTGCTGTCAGGTCCCAGGCCTCTGGCCTCTTTCCTGCTTACGTTTCCCATGAGAGGAATTGATGAGTGAGGACGTAAGTGTCTAGGGAAACGGCCAGAGGGAACTGGCAGTTTCAGGCTCTGTGATTCTGATTCTTTCTGTTTGGTTCTAGAACTGTTGGAGGATTGTTGCTTCAAAGACCTGTTCACGAATCACTTCATGTTTATGGTGGAGCCAAACGTCTTCAAACACGTGTTTTAAGTTGGTTTTAAATGGTTCCCTGACCACACAGTGCCACATTCCAGCATACTTTCTACTCAATCACAAAAATGTTTCCAATCTGTCATCTTAGATGTAAGATGATTTATTTCTGTTTTCTCCTCCAATTCAACTACAGTTCAAACAACTAATAGCACTAAAATGGGGGAATTTATCTATTTAAGTAAGAAGGTAGAATTACACATTGAACGTTAGAGACCACAACTTTGAAGCTAAGTCTTTTTTGGTTTGTAGTGGCATCTCTCCCACACACGCAGCCCAGATACAGGTGCAGCTTTACAGGTGGTCCTGGGCAGCTTTGGCTGAGAAGTGCTTTGTGTCTGTGATGCTTGTTTAAGTTGAGCCAAATGTGCACCTTCGTACCATGACCTAAACCAACCCACTGCCATCAAGCCGATTCTGACTCATAGCGACCTTGTAGGACAGAGTAGAACTGCCCCGTAGGGTTTTCCAGGCTGTCAGTCTTTCAGGAAGCAGACTGGCTCATCTTTCTCCTGTGGAGTGGCCAGCGGGTTCAAACTGATGACCTTTTGGTTAGCAACCCAGTCCTTTAACCCCACAGCATTACCAGAACTCCTTATTGTTCCCAACTGTGACTCATAAATAAGAATTATCCGGGAGCTATAAGAACTGTCAGAGCCTGGGTCTGAGGGACCCTGGTGTCAGGATATTTAAACACATTGTATTGTAAAAATTTCCAAACAGGTAGAAGCAGAAATAGTTCCATGAGCCCTTACGTCCCATGGTAACAGTTATCACCATCTTGGCGCATTTGCTTCATCTTTTTGAACTTTTAATGTCACAGTATAAATGCCTGATGCCATGTCATTCCATCTCTAAACTCTCTAGTGGCATCTCTCAAATTCAAAGCACTGCTTACATATATCCCTTCTCAGGTCTCACAAAGTTAGCACCATTTCCTTAGTGTCATCTAATAGCAAGTCTACACTGAGGTCTTCCATGAGTTCTAAAAGTCTTCCTTATTATTTTGTGCAAATCTGGATTCAACAAAGCCTAATTTATTGTCTCGCTTAAACTCCTTCTAATGTGCTCTCATAGTGTAGTGGTTAAAGCATTCAGCTGCTAACCAAAAGGTCAGCGTTTCAAACCTACCAGCTGCTCTGCCGGAGAAAGATGAGGCAGGCAGTCTGCTTCTGTAAAGATTGACAGCCTTGGCGCTGGGAGTCAAACTTGGCTCGCCGGCGGTGGGTCTCGTTCTTGGTGTCAGCCGCTTCTACTCTGGATGCTGCAGGAGGCCCCGCCCTGCTGTACCCTGGGGTCGCTGAGTCGTCGGCAGGTCGGGCATCGTTTCTAAGGCTCCTCAGGTGGTTCCGGTGCCGTCGGCTGGGAAGCGTTTGTGTGTAAAGCATGCTCCAAACGACTGGTTCTCAAACATGAAATAATGTGGCGACTTTTAAATAATAGTGTTGTCAAAACAAAACAAAACAAAAAACCCGCAGCAGAGAGATTATAGTAACTGTGGAGTCAGAAAGATTGATGCTCAGGACCTGACTAGGCCACTTACTGTTAGTGTCGCTTGATGATGTCATTTAACTTCTGCCTTCCAATGATTCCATAGACTCCCTGCACAGGGCATTGCACCTGGATTCAACAAAGCCTAATTTATTGTCTCGCTTAAACTCCTTCTAATGTGCTCTCGTAGTGTAGTGGTTAGAGCATTCAGCTGCTAACCAAAAAGTCAGCGTTTCAAACCTTTGAAAACATCTACAAGGCCTGGAAAGGAACTCTGGTGGCGCTGTGGTTAAGGCATTGGGCTGCTAACCAGAAGGTCAGCAGTGTGAACCCATCAGCTGCTCAGTGGGAGAAAGATGAGGTAGTCTGCTTCCGTGAGGACTTAACAGCTTTGGGAACTCTGTGGGGTGGCTGGGAGTCGGAATTGACTCTCTGGCAGTGGGTTTGGGTGTTGGTTTACAGAGTTGGAACATTTTGGACTTAGAATAAATGTAATTCCTCAGGCCTTTCCTAAAAACGACCGACTGACTGAATGACTGATGAGTATTGATACCTGGGTCCATCCCACAGGCAGAGTCCTTTGCTCTGGGACACAGAGAGTTTATAAAGCACCTGGTGCTTCTCATGGGCCCCAGTTTGAGAACTACCTCTCATTTTTAGCTTTGGTCAGGGCTACTTACTTCTGGATTGAAAACTCTTAACACCCACAAGCTTTTACTATTTTTAAGAAAACCAAGGGATTGACTTGTTCTGTTTATTTCTAGCCTAGAAATATTTTCCTTCATGGCCCTGATCAGCAAGTTAAAATAGGAGACTTTGGTCTGGCCTGCACAGACATCCTGCAGAAAAACACAGACTGGACCAGCAGGAGTGGGAAGAGTAAGCGTTTTATTTCCTTACCCATTTAAAAAACAAAAAAAAAGATGATTGAACAAGTCAGTATTTAAAGAGAATCACATTTAATAAGGAGCCCTGGTGGCGCAATGACTAAGCGCTTGGCTGTTAACCAGAGGTCAGTGGTTTGAACCCACCAGCTGCGCTACAGGAGGATGAAGCAGTCAGCTTCCGTGAAGACTGACAGCTCTGGAGACCCTGTGGGCAGTTCCCACTCTGTCCTCTAGGGGCGCTGTGGGTCAGAATGGACTCCACGGCCGTGGGTGTGGTTTGGGCTTTGGTTCTGTGAAGACTGACAGACAGCCTTGGAGACCCCATGGGGCAGTTCCACTCTGTCCTCTAGGGGCGCTGTGGGTCAGAATGGACTCCACGGCAGTGGGTGTGGTTTGGGCTTTGGTTCTGTGAAGACTGACAGACAGCCTTGGAGACCCCATGGGGCAGTTCCACTCTGTCCTCTAGGGGCGCTGTGGGTCAGAATGGACTCCACGGCAGTGGGTGTGGTTTGGGCTTTGGTTCTGTGAAGATTACAGCCTTGGAGACCCTGTGGGCAGTTCCACTCTGTCCTCTAGGGGCGCTGTGGGTCGGAATGGACTCCACAGCATTGGTTGTGGTTTGGGCTTTGCTTCCGTGAAGACTGACAGCCTTGGAGACTTTGTGGGGCAGTTCCCCTCTGTCCTCTAGGGGCGCTGTAAGTCAGAATCCATTCCACAGCAGTGGGTGTGGTTTGAGGTTTGCTTCCGTGAAGATTGACAGCCTTGGAGACCTTCTGGGGCAGGTCCACTCTGTCCTCTAGGGGCGCTGTGAGTCGGAATCGACTCCACAGCAGTGGGTTGGGTATTTTTATAGGTTTAATAGCAGGAGTAAGTTAAAGAGAAAAACCAGCTATTGTTCTCTTAGTGAATGTCTTGCTCAGAGTAAATGTTCTTTAATATTGACAGCATCCACATGCAGTGTTTAATATTTGGCTTTTCAAATTATAGGTGTGCTGCCAACACATACTTCCAGAGTGGGAACCTGTCTGTACGCATCCCCTGAGCAGCTGGAAGGATCCGAGTATGATGCCAAGGTAGTGTCCGCTGCATCTGAGCTCTTCCTGGAGTCGTTCTGCAGATGTACTTGGATGTGGGATGTACAGCATGTGTAGTGGACACTCCCTGGTGGAGGAGATTCTGAGAGGACTGAGGACCTGCAGGTTATCTGTCACATCCCAAGGCCTCACAGGCCTCAAGTGTCAGCACTGCTCTTTAGGCTGTTTACCGTTTCCTCATTTACGATTTTCAAACCAAAAAACCCCGACTCGCCGTTACCAAGTTGATTCCAACTCATGGCGACCCCCACTGGGTTTCCGAGGCTGTAAATCTTTACGGAAGTAGATCGTGCATCTTCCTTTCTCGGACTAGTCGGTGGGTTTGAACCACTGACTTCTGTTAGCAGCCCAGTGCCTTAACCACAGCGCCACCAGAGCTCCTTTCCGGGCCTTTTTTCCAGGGCAGTTGGATAAATGCTGCCGGGATGCTTGGCACTTCTGATGGACTTTCGCTGGAATAGAATGAAGACACTAAAAAGTTGTGATGAGTTCAGGAAAACAAGCCCCTTGTTCCCTGAGGGGCCGATTGAGTAAACCCTTTTTCTCAAATAATAGAATTAGTCATTTTTATGCCTTTGACGAATCAGTCGGCTTTTTAGTGACTGGGAAGGAGCTGCTAGAAATGACCATGGCTGTCCCTAAAATCCAACCTACTAAAGACCTGGGGGGAAAAAAAAAACTAGTTTTGGGAAAAGTGGCCCCAATTCTATGCAGTGGGTTTGTGAACTTTACCCAGAATGCTTCCTTAGCCCTGGAGGCAGAGACTCAAGCTGGACCATGTGTGACTCCCCTGTAGGTGGCACTAGCAGGGCGTGTGCACATTGCGTACCTCAGTTGGGGTCTGGCCTGCACATCCAGGGTGTGGATAAGACAGTGTAAGGCAGGAACTACTGGAGGTCAGGGGACATTATCCCTACCCTTCATGGGATCCCCATTCCTTCCCTGGATGTCCCTTTCTATGACAGTGCCTACTACCTCTCACCCAGAGCAGTCAGCCTGGCTGACAGACACTTGCCCCTATGGACTCCTGGTCCAGAGGACGGTACCTGAAATGGAGGGTGGCTGTGCTCTGACTGACGTTTTGTTGCCCACTTAACTCTCTTCTCCTTTTCTTTTCCAGTCAGATATGTACAGCCTGGGTGTAATCCTGCTAGAACTCTTCCAGCCGTTTGGAACAGAGATGGAGCGAGCAGAAGTGTTAACAGGTTTGAGAACTGGTCAGATCCCCGAATCCCTCAGGAAAAGGTGTCCAGTCCAAGCCAAGTATATCCAGCTCTTGACCAGCGAGAACTCATCCCAGAGACCGTCTGCCGTCCAGCTGCTCCAGAGTGAACTTTTTCAGAATTCCGGAAATGTATGTAAATTTTTTTTTTTAAATGCTGGGAAAAATAGAAAACCTGAAATAGGGTTTGTTTAAATTATGAATCCCATTTCATGAAGAACAGTTGAGCTGAGAATAAGCTATGGTAGCAAGACTGTAAAGCCCGTTCCCATAGTTCTCTCACAGTGTAGTAAGCACTCAATGCCAGTAGCATATACCCTGCCACACCCACGGCTGTAGTTGATGCTGACTCACAGTGCCCCTCACAGGGTTTCCAAGTACGTTGCCCCATCCTTCTGTGGAGCGGTTGGCGGGTTCAAAGTGCTGACCTTTCAGTTAGCAGCTGAGCGCTTAACCATGGTCCATCAAGGCTCCGGTGGCAACAGCACACGTGTATCCCATCCGAGTAATCGAGCAGACTCCCCCCCCCCACGAGCTGCTCTGAGATGCAGATGACGGCTTCGGGCTCTGGCTGCACCTGCTGAGTTAGTGGCGAGGGTGCATTTTCCCTAGTGGTGATAGACAATTGTCTGTCAAAAATTTCATCTCACTTCATTTTGTTTTTAGTGCAAGTTTCCACAGCAAATTAGGCTCTCATTTGACAGTGTCTATACAAACTGTTCGGTGACGTTAGTTACGTTTTCCGTGCATCAACATGCTCTTTAATGCCGCTCCGGTGGTTCCATTCCCAGTGCCATAGCTTCCCCGTCCCTGTTGTCTTCTCTTTGCTGTACCGTCATTGTTGACTTCTGGTCTCACACGGGTGGTTCTGTAGTGGTGAGCTGCACTCATGGCTGAAGGCCTTTATTTTGTGTGTTGGTCTTGTTACTCGCTGTAAGATGACCTCAGGATCCTTTCAGTTGGAGGATTAGAGTATCTCTGGGAGTCCTGGGCTCCACCGGCCCTAACCTTAGAGAAATTGTCACAGAAGTATTGTTACCTTTCCTAACAGAGGACACCTGCTAAAGGGTCAAAGACAGCAGCCATGCTAGGGGAGTGACTGCTCACTGATAGACTTTGAGAGCCGTGATGTGATTGGTCACTGCTCACGATGCTATCACATACTGATTTGTGGACTGAAGTGCTTAATGCAGTTGCAGCTAATCCATCGTGCTGATTGGCGTTAGTTAACCGTGATTACGGAAATTCATGCCTATCAGAAGTGCACACAGGGCTGCCTGTATATTTAAAAGGGAAGTATCCATTTTAATGGCGCGTGTATGTTTCCCTTTTACAGATTAACCTTACCCTGCAGATGAAGGTGATGGAGCAGGAAAAAGAAATCGAAGAACTGAAGCAGCAGCTGAGCCGCCTCTCCCGGGACAGAGGGGTGAAGGGGGGACGCAGGTCAGGAGCCTGCCCGGCCAGCCTTGATGAGGCCGTATAAACACTAGGAAAGTGGACTTCTCAGGCGTCTTTGTCTAAGCTACATAGTGAACTGGAATGTAATTTTTTTTTCAATCTGTATTAGGGTATTGATGGTATGATTCTTTATTATATTCAATAAGCCTGTTCAAGACTTACTAAAACCAAACTACTTTTTTCTGAGGTAGCTCTATGACTTGGCACCTGAACTTCTTGTTAGGTGCCCTCGAGTTGGTTCTGACTCTTAGCAACCCCGTGTACAACACAAGGAAACCCTGCCTGGTCCTGCACCGGCCTCACAGTCGCTGCTGTACGTGAGCCCCTTGTTGGGGCCACTGTGTCAGTCCGTCTCATTGAGGGGCTGCTTGTTTTGCTGACCCTCCAGTTTCCCAAGCACGTTACCCTTCTCCGGGGACTGGTCACTCCTGACAGCATGTTGGAAGTATGTGGGATTGTCTCGTCATCTTTGCTTCCCAGGAGCATTCTGGCTGTACTCCTTCCAAGACATTGTTTGTTTCAGCAGTCCACGGTATGTTCCATATTCTTCACCAGCACCGCAATTCAAACACGTTAATTCTTCTTCAGTCTTCCTTATTCATTGTCCAGCTTTTGCAGAAATATGAGATTGAAAATACATGTCAGAGGCACCTTAGTCCTCAAAGTTCCATCTTTGCTTTTGAACACTTTAAAGAGATCTTGTGCAAATTTGCCCAATGCAATGTTGATTTGGCTGCTTCCCATGGGCATTGACTGTGGATCCAAGTAAAATGGAATCTTTGACAGTTTTTATCTTTTCTCTTTATCATGCTGTTGCTTTTTGGTCCAAGTTGTGAGGATTTTTGTTTCATGCTCACGTATAATCTGTACTGGAGGCTGTAGTCTTTGATCTTATCAGTAAGTACTTCAAATCCTCTTCTCTTTCTGCAGGGAAGGTTGTATCATCTGTGTATCATGGGTTGGTAATGAGGCTTCCTTCAGTCCTCCTTCATCTAGTCTAGTTTCTTGGATTATGTGCTCAGCATACAGATTGAGTATTGTGAAAGGGTACAGGCCGGATGCACACCCTTCCCAGTTTTATACCACGCAGTATCTCCTTGTTCTGTTTGGACGACTGTCTCTTGGAATAGCTTCCAGCATCGCAGTACACAAGGTACTGCAGTACAGCACGCTGGCAGACAAGCGATGGGCCCTGACCTCACCCTGCCTTCACACTTTGCTCTCCCCTCCTCCGGTCCCACAAGTTCTTATTCCTCGACTCCTATGTCAGTATTCCTGGACACAGCCTGATACCATCCATTCTTCCTCCATTAAACTCTAAGCCTGTCGGCCACCAAACCTTCCTCCTTGAACAGGTTCTACCTCAGAAACTGCCTAATGTCCCCACTCCTAGCTGTTGCCAAGTTCAGGGCTACACACTTGACGAGCTAGATGGCAGCCAGACTTGAAAGCTGTCCATCGTCCATATGTAAGTGGTCTCACGGCTCTAAAGTGACTTACCAAAGGTCTTTTGATCAGTTCACTCCCCAGCATGGAAGGTTCTACTGGTTCATTTCTCTGTTCTCTCCAACCGCAATGTGGCATCATTCCCAAACCAGGCCCCTCTCAAAACCTGGTACTTGCGCCGAATTTCTTCCCAGAGCACTTGGATGTCGTCTTCCCTGCCTTTGCCCCTGCATTGTTTCCACAGCACTTTGCTTTATTGTACCACTCCCAAAATAACCTGTATCCCTCAAAGGCAATCAGACATGTAGTCAGTAGTCATCTGGTGTATTGCGTGTGATTTTGCAGAATTTTAAATAAAACGGAAGCCACATATTCTGATTTTTTTTTTATTGGTACTTGACAACTGGCCGAAATGAAAAGAGCAAGTCCTTTGACAGTCGGCATGAAATAGCAGCACCATTTTTAAAATCTAAGCTCTTTAAGATCAGTTGATAATCACTTAAGGAGCTTGAGGGCAGTGTTAAAGGGGATCAGGTTTGCACAGGAGTTCATCCACTTGTGCACATTGGCAGGCACCGCCCCGCCGGCACCCCCATGCTGCTGAAGCACAGACCACAGCACTACATCTGCTACGGTGAGTTCGTTCCCAACGAGCCAGGCGCTCTTCCCAAGAGCAGAGTTCATGGAGCGGAACACAGCGGCCTTTTCTTTACTGCTTCCCTCTTTGAGCTGAAAGACAGCGACGTCTACCCAGCTGTCTATGAGGGTTAAATCAACAGCATTATGCTGCTGGCCAAAGAGAGAGAACAGAAACCGGGCAATATTCCCTTCACCTTCAATGGGGCACATGGTCTGCACGCGGAACTTCATCTGAGTCTTTGGCACTGAAAGGAAAAACACACCGTGGAACGTCAAGAAGCGGAGCCCCTGCAAGAGGCACTTGTGCCACATGGCAAGGGGAAGTCACCAGGCATCTTGTGCTGATGACAAGGGAAAGTGCATCTTCAAGATGGAAATCATGCCTTGCGTTGATCTACAGATGATTTACTATTCAGGGGGGTATACCTGCACACCTTGCTGCAAAAGTAACTGCTGTGGTCCTCGACTGGGGCAGTTTTGGGTTGGCAGGGACCTCGGAGCATCTACTCAAACCTTGAGCCTAAGGATTGGGAAGATGAAGACTAGAACCTGAGGTCCCCTCCCAGCGCGGAACTGTCTCACAACCACTCCGCTGATGTGTAAGTGGCGTATTACCAGAAGAAGGTCATTAACTCGCTTCTCCCTGAACAAAACTGACCAGGAGAGGGGTGTGTCAGCAGGATAGCGAATACACGGTACCCTGCCATTCTGTGGTAACTGAAAGACCACGGCAGCGTCGCCCAGGAATGATTCAGCTTGGAAAGTGACTAGATTCCCTTTCATAAAAAGCTCAACTCTGTCCCCGCAAAGGAAAATCCCCGTGATTGCAGTCAAAGACTGCCGAGAGGAAGGAGGGCGTTTCTGGGTCAAGACTCAGTGTGCTCCCCTTCTGGAGTGACGCCACCCCCTTCCTGAACTAGGTAGTGGGGCCCCATAATCTAGAACCTAGCCCAGGCTCTCTCCTTACCGTTCTTCCAAATCAAAGTGAAACCCAACTGGTATTCGTGACGAGCCTGTTTCGCAGTCTGTTCTCCAAAGCACTTGAGGAGGTTTTCCGGCACACTCTTGATGGACGAGTGCGTGTGGACAGTGGACAGGACCCTGTACTGGTCACAGAGCAGACTGTGCAGCACCAGCAGCGAGAGCGGAGGCTCGGCTGGGTTTGCGTTGATCACGATGTCCTTGAGTGCTCCGTAATCCTGTGGGGACACATGTGGTCACACAGCCATGCCCCCCAGGAGGAGACACGTGCTCCTGCAAGAGGACCAGGCTCCATCAGAGTGGTCTCAAAGTCACTCTCCTGGGGGACAGCACATCGTCGCACAGCCACTCTCTGCTGCCTGTTCTATGACCAGGGCTACTTAATGACTCCAACTCTCAGAAGGTACTGTCATTATTTCTACTTTACAGTTGAGGAACCTCAAGACCCAGGGAGAGAAACTTGTCACTCCACTCAGGAGGAAGTAGAGCTGGGACATGCATCAGCGCCACCTTAATCCCTAAACTGCTGCCGCCCAGTGAATAAAAACTGAGTTTGCCAGCAAATTGGTAAAACAACAAATTACTATTTACCTCTGAGACAAAAGTTAAAAGCAACACATGCAGTTAGTCCCTTTACCAAATCTATCATCTGGTCACCTAACAAAAGAACAGTTTCTGCATATGAGCCAGTAGACAGCCTCTTAAGAGTCTTGGTCTGGAGGGATGGGAGACTCCCAACAAGCAGGTGTTAACTTTAGAGTCAAATGGACTTTCTAGGCGGGGACTTGCTGATTTCTGTACCTGCCATCTATAATAAATGGACTTCATAGAATACAATGTAAGTCCAGCTCTTTGGTCGGCCACCATCTGGTCTCTGGTCTGGCCTCCCCTGCCCCATGTCCTTTGCTTGAGCTATAGCTCTGCAGTTCCGAGTGCAGCCCTTCACTTGACGTGGGCCTCCTGAGCACCTTGAGAACGTCACTGTCACATCAGTGTTGACTCATCCACTGGACTGGCTCCCTGGGGGCCAGGTTAGGTCATCTGACCGAGTCCTCCCATGCAAACGTGTACTGCATGAATGAGTCAACAGAGGAAGGAATAAATGATGCAGAGGTAACAGGTGAGAATGCCACACCAGCTTTTGCTTTTAGGTCTTTCAGTAGTACCCTATTGAGCCCCACTTCTGGAGGGGCATACAGCAGGGAGTTTGAGATCTGCACTTGCAAAGAGACAACCTGTTGTAACAAGAGCTCCTTTCTTTGCTTATCAGCTCATCCCCCAAATGAGCGGATGGCAACAGGCTGATCATAAAAGCTAACAGGTACAACAACTTCCACACAGCAGACTGAGTTGGAGGAAAACCCATCAGAAACATGAGCTGGGGCCGGAGTTTTACAAAGCAGCAAAGGATCAGCAGGATTCCTGTGCCTGGGCAGTGACGGCTCATAAAGGCAAGCTGCTCAGAGCCAGGGCTGACCACTGAGCCTCTGAGAAGCACCGAGCAAGGAGCGTGGATGGCTCCTCTGGCGCTCAGGCTGTTAGGACAGCGCCCGCCACTGGCCCGGATGCACTCAGCCTGAAATGATGGGAAGCTCTCCCTCCTCTCTCTGCTTACAAACTGTCCCTGTTCTCCTCCATGAGGACTAAGGAAGTCAGGAAGTAGCTGGAGAGCCTGCCCGGGCTTTACTCACACCTTGTGAATCCCCTGTGCAACGACACAATTTATAGACAACCCACTAGCCAACCCACCCTCTCATTCCTTGCTCCACCTTTGAAAACAAAAAAGTCCAAGGCTTTGGATCTCATTAGCCCGTTTTTCCAGCACTAACTACCTCCTAGTCGGGCTGAGATGTTTCAGCTTTTAGTCCCAAAATGAACTCACCTTTCCAAGCACTGAATTCAAGTCCAATGCACTGGTGGTTACAGCAGTGGGCTCGTCAGCTTGGATTATGCTGGTTACGTCCACGTCCGCGTCAGGCGTCTGGATCATCTTGGAGAGGCTGTCGACCGCGGCTTTCAGTTCATACAGGCATTTTAAAATCGCATCTTGCCGAGACTCGAGGGCTTGAAGAGATGGGTTGGACTCCCCCTAAACAAACCAACACCCAAGTGTTCCTTTCATCTCACACCCTGCAGTCTGTTTAAATGTGACTGCCTGTCTTCCAGGCGGATCTATGCAGTCATCAAACCCCCCACCTTTAGAGAGATACAGAAATGAAATGGCAAAGACATCTCATTTTTTTCCAGAGTCAACAGGTCGTGCCTGCCAATCCATAAGTGTTTTAATACAACAAATAGGAAAATGTGACTGAAAGCCACGCAGGAATTGTACGATTCCTATTGTAGGTACATATCTGATACAGGGTACAGACCATGAGTGCTGATGGCTGTTACTCCCAATATCACGCTAACTCAAAAAGTTTGCCTAAATGTGAGTTAAACATTTACCTCAAGTAGACACACGCCCTGGAGAGAACAATCATGGGAGAAGGAAGGGCTGCTTATGCACAGGGAGATAGCTCAGGGTGCAGAAGAGTATGAAGGGATGGACACTGGGAGGAGGTAACTATGGGGAGGAAGTGGGAGGGGAGCTGCTGCATTGTAAATTTTGGTCAATGACATGAGACAAAGTATATGTGAACTGCTGTATGAAAAGTGAATTTACTCTGTAAATCTTCACCCAAATCCTAATAAAAAAAAAAAAGTTTGCCTAAAGGAGACAGACTAGGGGTGGGGATCGCGGTGGGAGTGGTAGCAATGAGAAGGTACCTCCGTAATCTACACTGACAAGGGGGACAGGGAACACCGACGGCCTTGAAAGTCTCCTCCAGGCCCTCAGAGAGTCAGCTAGTTACCTCATTGCAGGGCGCGACAGGCACTCTGACAGCTTAGAATCCTGCAGAATCTTTTCACTGCTGAAATGTGCAGCTTCAGGATCAGGTGGACTTACATCGCCCACTCTGTGGAGCAGTTCTGCTCTCTAACACTTAGGGTCACTGTGAGTCAGAACTGACCTGGCAGCAACAGGTTGTCATAGCCTTTATTCTCTGAAGTTTGCATCTGCCTGCCCTAGTACAGTGTGACACGTAAGTGGCCAATAAATAGCTGCTGATGCATACGTTTCAAATACCTACAGATTTACTTTAAAAAGCAACTACAAGAAGCATCCCAATAAAGTCACATCGTACAACTATTTCCAGAGTCATGAGCTACCACAATAGGTGATCTGTTTTGAGTTGAGAGAGTAAGATTATGTTAAAAAAAACTAACTCACTGCCATCGAGTCGGAGCCAACTCATAGTGACTCCTCCTTGGGTTTCATCAGCACACACTGAGGCAGTACCACTACGGAAATCTATTACCAAAACCTTCCTTCCGAGGAGTGGCTGGTAGATTTGAACCACCAGCCTTCTGGTTAGCAGTCAAATGCCTTAGGCACTATGTCACCAGAGCTCCCAAGATTACATGAAACACTAGAAAATGCTCTGAACTGGAGAGAACAGCCAAGAATATGGCAATGCCTTCAAGTTTACTGTAAATATGTATATGATAGAGCATGAGTGTGGGCGGAGTGCTCATTTCCATATGTGTGCTGTAAATATAACGTTCTTAGCAACATGTCTTTCTCCACTAGTCACCCTTACCACTTTCTCACAGCCAGTTCATCATGGGGTACAGTCAGTTTTACCTCCTTCAATGTCTTCAATCCATTGGCTTCGAAGCATGCCTCCACTGTCCCTGCCTAGTCCCAGCTGCCCGTTCTTACCTGGCCTGTCTCCTGATGGGTCACTTGCACCCACTCTCATCCACCCCTCCAATCCGGCCCAGAAGATGGCAGGCCAGATCCTGTCACTGTCCCCTCCCTCCCCAGCTAAATTCTTAGGCTCTTAGGATAAAAAGTAAAGTCCTTGTCAAGGTTTACTGACAGTTTATGTGATTTGGGATCTAGCCTCACCTCACCTAACTCTCCTTTGCGCTTTGCTTCAGCCCTGCTCTCCTTTGGGTTCCTCACACACACCAAGCTCCCACCTGCCATGGGACTGTTCACATGCTCGGCCCTCTGTCTCGGACATGCTCCTCTTGCCCCCTGTCCTGTTAACTCACCCTACATACATACATACATACATACATACATACAGCTTAATCACCACTTTCTCACCTCCCCTAGCTTGCTGTTCTTGTTTAAGACCAAACAGCACGCCATGGGACATAATTGACTTCGGGGTGGAACAAAGAAACAAAGTAATTGCCAGTGAAGTAATTAGGTGCTGGCTGGAAGTAAGTCTGAAGGCGAGACAGGTGATGGGTAGGCTCCTCGGCTTACTCAGGGAGTGTCCTGAGTTACATTTCCAACAGCTTATTTTTAACCACTGTACTCATGTGCGGTCTTTGCACAAATCTTTGCCCCGTCCACCCGGGTGCAAAATTGCTCCTTCTGGCTTCAAAATCTCTGTCAGCACACACTGAAGAATGTCTGAGATGAGTTTCGTGTATGAAATGTGGCCTGTGATTTAACATCTGGAGCCAAGCTGACCCAGCCTTTTTGATGAGAGTCATGCCAAACGCTCAAGTCCTGCTTACCTACCTGTGTCTTCCCATGTTGGCCGGTCGCATGCCTCGGTCAGACAAGACTGGGGCTTGGCAGATGGTATTTATCGGTGTATGTTCTTTAGATGTATTTAAAGCAGTTTATTCTTTGTGTGGCTTTCATTTACCGTGGGTCAGTTTGGTTTCTAAGTCTCTGTCTACCCACACTGTTATTATCTGCTGGGGAATTTGCTAGAGGAGAGCGATTTTGTGTCTTCTAAGTTACAAGTTCACAGGAAAAAAAAATCCAAAGGAAGTTAGGCAGCAGACTTAAAACAAAAAAAAAAAAAAAAAGACTTGGTTTCAAATGAGATGTGCATTCCTTACTTTGGGTTCTTTTTGGTTCCATGGGCCCATCCAGCTGAAGGGGATGTGGGACTGTGTTGACCATAAAGAGTTTTTGTCTTAGCTCTGTAGTGAAACAATGATGTGTTTTCCAAACAAAAAAACCCTAACCACCTCTCTTCCAATCTAGAAAGCTATTAAGATTAAAGGGAAGGATGTCAGAATGGGCAAAAGTCTCTCCCGCTGGGAAGCTAATGTGTGTATTTAAAGTCAGTAAGATTGCATGAGAGAGACAGAGAGAGAGACTGACTTGAGCCAGGTACTTTACAAAAGAAGGAATGAAAATGAGCAGTGAACGTAAGAAGGTGCTCAACTCATTTTGAAGTCAGAGAAACGCACATGACACTATACCAGCTTTTGGGAGAGTGCAAGCAACAGGAATTCTTATACACTGCCGGTGAGAGCATAACCTGGTAAAACTGTGTTGAAGACTATTTCTCCAGGAGAGCTGAAAAAAACATGCCCACTGAGCGAGCAGCAATGCCACTCCTTACACCTCATTCGTGTACAAGAACAGCCACTGCAGAGTTATTCGGAGCAGCATAAAATGGAAGATAACCCCATGCCCATGAGAGGGAGAACAGATACGTGGTGTAGAGAGTGCAACTGAACGTTATCCTGCAAAGATGTATCCTGTTGTTAACTGCAACGAAACGATTCCTAAAAATCACAATGTGTAGAAAAAGCCAGACACAACCAAACACATGCTGTGTGACTGCACTACAGAAGATTCAAACACAAGCAAGACTCAGTTCAGTGTTCAGTGATAGTGATGCCTACTTAGATGGCAAAATCCAAGAAAGAAGGAAGACATAATTACTAAAAGCACAGTGGGGGACTGGGAGGTTTTAAGTGTGAAGGGTGGGCTGTTTCAGAGGTGCTGACAGTGTTGTGCTAAGGTTCACTTTATAATTCACAAATATGAGCATTTACGTGTTACCCGTTTCTCTGTGGGTAAAATTTTGTAATAAAACAGTTTGAAAGCAGCCGTGAGCGAAAAAAAGATAAAGAAGTCACTGACTTCGGTGCCTCTCCGCCGAGCCAGGTCTCTCGAGACCCGCCGGCGCGCAAGGCTGGCGGCCGCGATCCTTCCGAGCCCGTCGGGATCTGGCAGTCCAGATCTGATGGCACCCACCCGCGGAGGGCGCCCTGGGTGAGGCAGGCCGCGGCGCCTGCGCACTAGGCAAGTGTACGTGTATGTGCGCCGGGGGTAGGGGCCGCGCTGCTTGGTCCTACCTGCACGTGGCCCGCGTCGGGTGCGGGACCGCTGCTCCGGCCGTGCACGTTAGGGAGTCGGTACATGCAGGTTGGCAGGTCAACATGGAGAGGCGCGCCGCCTCCGTGATAGGGTTTTACCTGGTACATCGGCATCGCGGCAACCCAAGGAGGGAAGGTGAAGGGTGACGGACACGAACTCACAGAAACCGTCAAAGGCCAAGACGAACTGCCGGCGCTGGGGACAGCGCTGTCCGACAGCTCTAATTGGTTGTAGTCTTTTCGACGTCATGCACTCAACCTTTGACACAACCAGTCAGCGAAAAAGGTATACGGGAAGCTTTTGCCTCCCCGCCCGGAAGGGGCGGAGCACAATACCAGAAGCAGCCAATGGGCGGCCTAAAGGCGGGGCTCCTGTGGGTGTAGCGGCGGCGGGAATGCAGAGGCTGTGGTGGAGGCTGGTGGGGCTTTGGATCCATGGAGCGAGCTGAGGGGTCCAGGTGAGCGGGGCTGTCGGTCTCCTTCTTGTCGTCATCACCTAGGCCAGCGCGTTCCAGGCTCCTGGAACTCGGCGAGCCTGCGGCGCAGAGGCCCCAGAGCGGCCTCCTGACCCGGTTCCCTGTGTGTGTTTGGCACCTGAGGGTAACGATCGGAGCCCTGCCAGTGCCCTGGACCGGGAGTTGGCTCTCGAAGGTGCTGGATTCGGCCGGTCCCCAGGCGATCCCGTGAACCTGAAATGCAAGCCGACTGAATTAATTCATTTTTTAAAATATTTTAATTGTGTTTTCAGTGGTCTAGACAACAGTTCAAGTCCCCATCCAACACTTTTCTGCACAGATTGGGCCTGACATTGGTTACCTGCCTCACCATGAGCGAACGTTCGCGTTATTTCCGTTCTGGTGGTTTCGTTTCCACTCATCTAGTTTCCCTGCCCCTATTTTACATCCTTATCTTTGGTTTAAAGTAACGGTTGACCATTTAGCCTAATGTAAGTGATTTTTTAAAAAGGAGCACAGTAGGGGCGATTGTCATTATTTTTTGAGTCACGTTGTTGTTCAGCCGCATGAGTTCATTTATTTTTAAACCTGCTGTGTCTGTCTGCTATTTCCTCTTCCTCCTCCATCTCCTCCTCTTCTCAGGTTAATTTTTCCTGTGCTTCAAGGCACGTGTGAATTTGCATAATTGCACCGTTTTTGAAAAAACTGCACGTATTTTTGAATATGTGATTTTTCTGCTTGGTAAGTCACAGAATTCGAGGTCGCCAGTCTTCAACTTTTCCGACAGCTGCAACCTTCACTTTCAGACTTGTGGACCCCCGTTTGCTGCCGTATTTACCTGTTTAGCCTCTCCCCTCAAAGTAATGTCAGAAATGGACCTTTAGCCACTGGTGCGTTGTCAGATAAACTCATTTTTGGAGCTAATTCGTTCTATTTCCTGTGGAGTCATCTGCAGTCTCCCCTCCGATGAACCTGAGTGACATGCTTTGCAAGGCAGTGTGAAGAGTGAAAACGTTCTTTATTTCACAGGCTTTATTGGGGTCTGCTGTGAGTTAAGGAGCCCTGGTGGCACAGTGGTTAAGCCCTTGGCTGCTAACCCAGAGGTTGGCAGTTCAAAGTCACCATCTGTGGTAGAAAGACCAGGCAATCTGCTTCCGTAAAGATGACAGCCTTGGAAACCCCATGGTGCAGTTTTACCCTGTTCTGCAGGGTCTTTCTGAGTCAGAATTGACTCCATGGCAGTTGGTTTGGTTATTTTGTTTGGACTGTGTGTTAGATGGGAGCTCTGGTGGCATAGTGCCTAAGGCATTGACTCCTAATCAGAATTATTTGAGCAGATTTGTGATTTAGGATAACTCTGGTGGTAGTATGAAGATGGATTGAAGTAGGGCGAAAGTAGAAAAAACCCAGTTGGAAAATTCTTAAAGCAGAATCAGTGAGAACCTTGAGGCTCTTTGCTACAGCAACAGCTAGCAGCTGGATTTTGGGAGGGGGCAGGGTTCAGGGGCCCCTAACTACTGAGAGTTATCATACAACTGGACCCAGTTTCTGAGATGGTTTTGACCTGAACGCTGTTCTTGCAAATCATGTGGGGAATGTGGGTTTCACTTTTCAAGAAAGAAGATCCCCTTGTTGGCAAGGATTCCTGACTGGTAGGTAATGTGAGGGGTTGTTGTTCGCTGACATCATGCTGGCCCCCCACTCGTAGTGACCCCATGCACCGTGGAAGGAAGTGCTGCGCGGTCTGGCACCATCCCCCCGAGTGGTTGCACAGCAGACCGTTGGGATCCACAGGGTTTTCAGTGGCTGATTTTCAGAAGTGGGTCACCAGCCCTTTCTTCCTAGTCAGTCTTAGTCTGGAAGCTGCTCTGAAAGCCGTTCAGCGTCCCAGCAACACACAGGCCTGCACTGACGGAAGGATGGCAGCCGCACGCGAGGTGCTCCGGCTGTGAACCACATTGAGGCCTCCTACCCACGTGGAGCGTGAGAACTCTCTGAACCACCGAGTTGCAGGGATGCCAAACTACTGGGTTGGATGCATCTACTCAGAAGTATCTCTTGCTAGAGGTTGAAGGGTTATAGAACATTTATATTCAGGACTGTGGTAAACGTGTATGTCAATACACAAAGGAGTAGACCTGTTAGCATTAGTTAATGAATCATTTCCCACAGGTAACATTGGGATGAAAATGCATAATTGCGTATTGCTTTCTTTCTTGTACTGGTTTCTTTAGCACAGAACTTGTGAAGGCCATTAAACCTATCGATCGGAAGTCAGTCCATCAGATTTGCTCTGGGCAGGTGGTGCTGAGTCTAAGCACTGCAGTGAAGGAGTTGGTGGAAAACAGTGTGGATGCCGGCGCCACTACTGTTGGTAAGCCAGGAGGATCATAAACCACCTGAAATAAACAGCTTTTGCTATTTTATTCAAGAAATGTTGAATGATTATTATTTTAACTTAGATTTAGCAGTAAGGTCTCGAGGTGGCACAAACGGTCTGTGCTTGTCCACTAACCTAAAGGTTTGCCGTTTGAACTCACCCAGCAGTGCTGCAGAAGAAAGACCTGGCAGTCTCCTTCTGTAAAGATAACAGCCAGGAAAACCCAATGGAACAATTCTCCCCTATAACACGTGGGGTTGCCATGAGTTGGAATTGACTCTACGGCAGTGGGTTTGGTTTTGGTTTTTAAGTGCCTAGTATTCTTGCTGTTGCATGCTGCCGAGTCAACTCTGACTCATACGAGCCCCATGAAACAGAATAGAACTGCCCCATAGCGTTTCCTGAGCTGAAATCTTAATGGGAGCTGATCTCCAGGTTTTTGCTGTCATGGAGGGCTGGTGAGTTCAAACCACTAACCTTTTGGTTAGCAGCCAAGTGCTTAACCACTGTGCATCCTGGATGCCTTAGTATTTATCTGGGTTAATTAGTTAGTTAGTTAGTTATCTGGGTAGTGATACTATAATAGCAGTTAACTTTTATTGTGCTCTTACTGCTATGTGCCAGGCTGGCATTGCACTAAGAACTGTACGTAGGAATACATCTTTTAATCTGCAGAATAACTTTATGAGATAGGAATAATAATAATAACTATTTTTGTTATTAGCTCCATAAAATAGATGAGGAAATTAAGGTGCAGGGAATGTACTGTTTTTGAGGCTGTACAGCTAGTCACATTTGATCTCAGGAACTCTTGATTACAGAGCATATCCTCTTTAATGACTGTGCTAAATTTACTCCTTTCAAAAACAAAAAGAAATATGAAAATACAAAAGAAAAAAAAATCCTTTTCATTTGGGCTCCAGTTAAGTCAAAAAGACTGAAAAAATAAAATATATCAAATGACAGTAGTACATTGACTCTTAAATTTACATTAAATGAGTTATAAATAATGTCACTGTGAAGGTTATAAGCATGGTTTAGTTCTTTGAGGAATAAATATTTTATGTTTTTTAGATGTAAGACTTAAAGATTATGGGGTGGATCTCATTGAAGTTTCAGACAATGGATGTGGAGTAGAAGAAGAAAACTTCGAAGGCTTAAGTAAGTTGGATTTCTCTAATTCCATTTTAAAATATTTGGACAGAATGTCTCAATTTTTTTTCTTCTAATTTTTATTTATTTTGTTGTCGTTGTTAAGGAGCTCTGGTGGTGTAATGCCTAAGGCATTTGACTGCTAACCAGAAGGCTGGTGGTTTAAACCCACCAGCCACTCCTGGGAAGGAAGATTAAGCAATCTACTTCCTTAGAGATACTACCTTGGAAACCCAGGGAGGGGTCTCTGAGTCAACTTAACTTGAGGGCAGTGAGTTTAGTTTGGTTTTTTGGTTTGTCGTTGTTAAGAATATACACAGCAAAACATACACCAATTCAACAGTTTCTGTATGTACAATTCAGTACATTGATTCCATTCTTCAAATTGTGCAACCATTCTCACCCTCTTTTTCTGAGTTGTTTTCCTCCATTAACAAACTCACTGCCCCTAAGGTTTCTACTTATTTTTTGAGTTGCTGTTGTCACTTTGATCCCATAGAGTTATTAAAAGAGCTTAATGTTCAAAACAGACCCTTTTACTAGTTAAGCTAAACTATTGTTGAGTTTTAAGATGATTTCAGGGCATATTTTTGGATTAAGGTTTAAAGAATATCTCAGGGTAATAGTTTCAGGGGTTCATCAACCCTTCATGGTTCCAGAAAGTCTGGAGACCTTGAGAGTTTGAAAATCTGTCCTGCACTTTTTGTAGCATTTTTCACAATAGCCAAAAGGTGGAAACATCCTAAATGCGGATCAACAGAGGAATAGAGAAACATGTACGTCTGTAACTTTTTACAGATATACACCTTATTGACAGCAATTACAATAATCAGCTGTGCAATCCTACCCTTATATTCCCACCAGCGAAGGGTGAGAGTTCCAGTTTCCTCTTACCCTCACCAATTTATTATTTTCTTTTTTTTTCATCTTAGCCCTCCTGTTGTTGTTGTTGTTGTTGTTTGCCGTCGAGTCGGCCCCGACTCATAGCGACCCCTCCTTGGGTTTCCGAGGCAGTATCACTACGGAAGTAGGATTGCCCAACCTTCCTTCCGAGGAGTGGCTGGTGGGTTTGAACCGCCATCCTTCTGGTTAGCAGTCAAGTGCTTTTAGCCACTATGCTACCAGAACTCCCTAGTGGGATTGAAATGATACCTCATGTGGTCTTGATTTCCATCTCTCTGATGGCCAATGACATTGAGCATCTTTTCATGTGTTTGGTGGCCAGTTGTTTTCTTTGGAAGGAGCTCTGGTAGCACAGTGCCTAAGGCATTTGACTGCTGACCAGAAGGTAGGGGGTTCAAACCCATCAGCCGCTCCATAGAAGGAAGATGGGGCAATCTACCTCCATAAAGATTTACCGCTTTGGAAACCCAGTGGGGGTGGCTATGAGTTGGAATCAACTTGATGGCAGTGGGTTTAGTTTTTTTTTTTTTTCCCCTTTGGTGAAATGTCTATTCAAGTCCTTTGCCCATTTTATGATTGGGTTGTCTTTTTTGTTGTTGTCAAAGTTTTATATATATTTTGGTTATTAGATTTCTTGCAGAGTATCTTAGAATTGTAATTAACACTGTCTTAGAACACACAACACAGCCTTTAAAATCAGTTACTTTGGGAGACATTGTGTGCATTCATTGCTAGATTACTGTAGCTATCTTGGCCCTTATTTTACATCTCTCTTTCAGCTTTGAAACATCATACTTCTAAGATTCAAGAATTTGCTGATCTAACTCATGTTGAAACATTTGGCTTTCGGGGGGAAGCTCTGAGCTCACTTTGTGCACTGAGGTGATGCAATGTTTTCATCCATTGATTTGACCCTTCCTAAAAATCCCTCTGAAAATATTGGAAAGTATGGCTGGAATCATTATTGTTTACACTTTTTAATCTGAATGTTTTCTAAATTCTGAATTCTGTTTTATCTCACTACCAGTCTGAGTGCTAATACTTCTGAAATGTAAGTCCAGTGAAAGTGTTACTTAAACAAACAAACAAAAAAAAAGGTTACTGTTTTTAAAACAGTCACTTGTCAATTTTTAAATAACATATAGATAATACATTACAGGTGGCTTTCAGAGCCCCTGGGTGGTGCGGATGGTTAAGTGCTCGGCTGCTGACCAAAAGTTTGGAGGTTCGAGTCCATCCAGAGATGGCTTGAAAGAAAGGCCTGGCAGTCTATTTTAAAAAACAAACAAACAAACAAAAATCCCAGCTGTTGAAAACCCTGTGGAGCACAGCTCTATTCTGATGCACATGGGGTTGCTGTGAGTCAAAACTGACTCTGGCAACTAGTTTTAGTATCATTGGTTTTATTTTCAATTTTTAGGGAAAAAATTTTAAAAATCCACTTATTTAGTTTACAAAACAAATTCTAAATTTTTATAAGTATTTATTTGAACTATGATATCTTTGAATCCTTTCTTTAAAATTTTATTAGAACAGCAGTAAGGAAGCTGAGAAATAAATCTTTATTCTTGAAAATATAAGTTTTGAGATCCTTCATTGTTTTTCAGTTCAAACAAAAAATAAATACCAAAGTTGTGTCAAAGCAGAGAGTTTCTAGAATTCTGTGTCTTACTCTATTAGAAGGTAAACCTTAGATTTTATGATGACGCTTTGCCCATGTTAGGAACTCTGGTGGTGCGGTGGTTAAAGCTTTCGGCTATTAACCAAAAGATTGGTAGTTCAAACCCACCAGCCACTCCACAGGAGAATGATGTGACATCTGTAAAGATTGATGGCTGTAGAAACCCTCTGGGGCAGTTCTGCTCTGTCCTTTAGGAGGCCTGTGAGTTGGAGTCGACTCGCTTGTTGCGGGTTTGGTTTTTTGGGCTTTGCTTCCATAAAGATTGACAGCCTTGGAAACCCTATGGGGCAGTTCTACTCTGTCCTGTAGGGTTGCTATGAGTTAGAATCAACTCCACGGCAGTGAGTTTGGTTTTGGGTCTTCACCCATTTAAACTTTGGTGATTATTTCTGAAGGATCATCGTCTTGTTGCTAGGAGAGTTTTGAGAGAAAGGGACATAAGAATATGGGTTTGTGACGGTTGACATCTGTGAGTCTCTAACTGAACATCCCACACCTGGTGTTTTCTTGCAGTGATGTAACTATTTCTACCTGTCACACGACTGCAAAGGTTGGGACTCGATTGGTATTTGATCACAATGGGAAAATTGTTCAGAAAACCCCTTACCCACGGCCAAGAGGGACCACGGTCAGCGTACAGCAGTTATTTTACACACTACCTGTGCGCCATAAGGAATTTCAGAAGAATATTAAAAAGGTAAGAGTGTTGATGGTGGGTTGTACATAATGTTGTAAAAGAGCTGCTAAGTCTTGTCAGTTGATTCTCTTCCATTAATCTTTTGAGAAGTCCCATCAAAGTCTTAACTATAGGATGGTTTATCCTTTTCTTTCCTTGAAAATAATCATAGTGTTTTTTAAGTGCTCTAGTACAGATAATGAGTCCTTTAAGATATAACGTTATTTTTGGATCTAATCTTTATTTTTCAATAAGATTATTTTATCTTGTTTCCCAAAAAAATGAACTATTACAATCTTCATGAGTTTCTGTGAAAACAGAACAGTTAAAATGTGGCTGGATGTATAATTTTTTTTGGTAAAAAGCAGAATATAAAACTGTCTATACTATGTAATCAGTTTTATAAAAACAAGAGCAATGGGCCTACATTTGCATAGGAAAAAGGCTGGAAGAGTAGACACGTAAATGTTAGTATTGTCCTTGGATGTGAGAACATTTGTGCTTTCTGCTGTCTTCCTCACACTCTTCCGTCCTGTACATATTCTGCATTGAACATACGTTTTTTAATAATCAGAAGAAGTGTTAAACCTGGAGCTAGCAACTTTCTTTCCTGGTAAAGTCCTTTGTGCTGTTTTTAACTTTGGATGGGACATTTTGAATCATGCAGTTCTTGTCAGATTGAAGTAATGTAGAGTGTTGTGTTTGTGTCGTTTTTACAGGAGTATGCCAGAATGGTCCAGGTCTTGCAGGCGTACTGTATCATTTCTGCAGGCATCCGTTTCAGTTGCACCAATCAGGTTGGACAAGGAAGACGGCAGCCTGTGGTTTGCACAAGCGGAAACTCCAGCATCAAGGAAAATATTGGATCTGTGTTTGGGCAGAAGCAGGTAGTAGTGGCGAGTTACTGAAAAATATCTCACTGCCCTCGTGATTATGGCAAGATTTTCTTTCTTGTCCTTTCCAAGGAGCGATAATTAGAGGATAAAATCCAAGACTTGATTTCTGTTAACACATACCTGTCACAAAAATTACTTAATGTTTGAAAGCTGCACGTTTGTCATTTTATTCTTGCAGAGAACAAAATAATGCATTCTTTTACTTTCTATTTGAAAAAATTATAAAGTATTTTGGGCAAAGTGTTGATTATGAATAAGTAGGAGCTCAAGTGTTTCATCTTTTTAATAAATCCCTGTATACATAGATCATTTGAGAAAGCAGTCACCCCGATGCTTTGAGTTTCTTGGAGTTCTCAGTGTGGACGGTGTGCCTAGGAAAGAACACAAACCCTCCTTTCTGAAGTTAGGTTCACTCCGTCTTCATCAGGAAGTAACTGTGCATCTTGGTTTCTTCAGTTGCAGAGCCTCATTGCTTTTGTTCAGCTGCCGCCTAGTGAACCCATTTGCGAAGAGTACGGTCTGCCGTGGCCTGAAGCTCAGCAGCAGTTGTTTTGGTAAGTAGATTGCTGCCGAGAAAATTCCTGTCTAGCATTTTTTCTTGCAATACTACACTGTATGTAGCATATACTATTAAGATAAGATGTACCAAAAAAAAAAAAAAGCCAGTGAGTAGTTGTAAGTGTGATTTATTGTAAATTGACTCCATCATAAGTTGAGGACTACCTGTCATGATAAGATGGACAAAAATCCCCAAAACAGATGGTTGTAAGTGTGGTTTGTGATAACTCAAATATGTCATAAGTCGGGGGCTGCGTGTATTCAGTAGCATGTCAACAGGTGTTGTGTTTTTATTTCATTTTCTTCTAAGAGCATGCCATATGATACATGTTTCTAATCCTTTTCACTCTGAAATCCTGCCCTTATCATATTGACATTGACTAGTATCTCAGGTTTCATTTCACACTGCGCTCACGGTGTTGGAAGGAGTTCAACTGAGAGACAATTTTTCTTTATCAATCGGCGGCCTTGCGACCCAGCAAAGGTATCTAAAAACATTCTCTTTTGTATTAGTGTTTTTCTTTTTGGCTTTAGTGGGTTTTTTTTTTCTCCCCTTTTTTTTTAACATTTTATTGTGCTGTAGGTGAAAGTTTACATAGTACTCTAATTAGTGATTCATACACAGATTGGTTACAACCCTCACACTTGTGAGCACTCTCCCTGTTTCCTCCCTCGGTTCCGTGTTTCCATTCGTCTGGTTTCCCTGTCTCCCCCTGCCTTCTCATCTTTGGTTTTGGGCAAATGTTGCCCTTTTGGTCTTGTACCGTTGATTGTTCTAAGGAGCGCACTTTTCTGATGTCACTGCTTGTTTGACTAGGCTGTCTATTAATTGGCTGAAAGGTAGTCTCCTGGAGTGTCTCCAGTTTCAAGTCAGAAGGTATCTTAGGGCAGTTATCTTAGTTATCTAGTGCTGCTATAACAGATACCACAAGGTAATGGCTTTAATAAACGAATTAGTTCTCTCACATGGATCATACGGTATTTCTATTTTCAGCTTTTCAAAGAAGTGCCATACGGTTTTCCGTAGTGGTTGTATCATTTTGCAGTCCCACTGGCAGTGTGCAAGAGTTCCAGTCTCCCCAAAGCCTTACCGCTGTTTGTTGTTCTGTTTTTTTGATCCATGCCATTATTGCTGGGGCAGATGGTATCTCAGTGTAGTTTTGACTTGTAGCTTTCTAATGGCTAATGTTCATGAACATCTTTTCATGTGTTTATTAGCTACCTGAAGGTCTTCTTTGGTGAAGTGTCTGTTCATGTCCTTTGCCTATTTTTTAATGGAATTGTTAGTCCTTCTTTTGTTGAGGTATTGAATTTTAGCGATGAGGTGTTAGTCAGATAAATCATTGACAAATTTTTTCCCAGTCTGTAGGTTCTCTTTTTATTCTTTTGATGAAGTATTTTAATGAGTATGAGATTTAATTTTTAGGAAGTCCCATTTATCTAGTTTATGTTCAGTTGTGTGTGCAGTTTTAGTTGTGTTTTTATAGTCTATTTATGCCATAAATTAGGGCTTCTCATGTTTGTTCCATGAACTTTATGGTTTTAGTTTAGGTCTTTGATCCATTATGAATTAGTTTTTGTGTATGGTGTGAGGTAGGGATCCCGCAAATGGATATCCAGTTTTGCTAGCACCATTTATGAAAGAGATAGTTTCTTTCCCTATTTAATGGACTTTATTGAAGATCTGCTGTCCATAGGTAGATGGATTTACTTCTGGGTTTAACTTTTTATTTCTTCATTATGTAATAACCTTTGCTGATACAGGCAACTTATATGGAGCTTCAACTTAGAAGCATTTTAAAATTATCTTGTTTTAGGCATTTTTAGACGTTTACTGTCTTAGTTATCTAGCGCTGCTCTACAAGTGGGTGGCTTTCATGAATGGAAATTTATTTTCTTATGGTTTTGGAGGCTGGACGTCTGAACTCAGGGTGGGAGCTCAGGGAGAAGGTCTTGTCTTTTTCTCAGTTCTGTCCCATGGTACCTTGGTAATCTTCACATGGCCGGGCGTCTGTCTTCCTCCAGCTCGGCTTGCTTAATTTGCTCATTTGTATCTCAGAATAGATTGATTTAAGATACAGTCTACAGTAATACCATCATACTGACATAACAAAGAAAATCCATTCTCAAATGGGATTATAACCACAGTTGCAGGGCTTAGGACTTAACCCAGAATTTTGGGGACACAGTTCAATCCGTGGCATCTACTCTACAGTTGTTTCAATTACATGTATCCTTCTGTTCATTTTCCAGGAAATTAAGAGCCCACATTACTTTTACCTCGGAGTTAAGCTGGTTTCTTGATATGGTTCTATGTGCTTTTGGGGGGTCAGTTTTAACTCTGCATCATCAGCAACAGTGGACCTTACTGCTGTCTTCTGTTTTCCAGTGACACTTTAAAATTCACTTCTGTTGACCAGATGTGGTTCAACTTCTAAATTTGCTAACCTGTGTTATAATTAGTGTGGATTTGATGGTTTATCAGTAATGCCATTTAATAATCTCTTTCAAGTCACATAAATACATCTCTATGTACATTTGAATGTGTTTTAAGAAATTTCAGCCTGCTCTTACATGTTACTGAAATGTCTTCAAGAGCAAGTTAGGTTGGAAAGGATCAGGAGTCCCAAGGGACAGGAGGAAACTGTTTGAGTTGGTAGATGGGTTCATTCTCTTGACGTTGAAGACAGTCTCACCATTATATAAATGTATATGTCAGAACATATCAAATTATACTTTTTGAATATGAGCAGTTTATTGTATGTCAATGATACCTCAGTAAAACTGTTAGAAAGGAGCCCTGGAAGTGCAGTGCTTAAGCACTCAGCTGCTAACCAAAGAGTCAGCAGTTCAAACCCACCAGCTGCTCTGCAGGATAAAAGACCCGGTGATTTGCTCCTGTTGAGATGACAGCCTGGGGAACCATGGGGCAGTTCTACTCTGTCACATGGGGTCACTGTGAATCAGAGTAGACTTGACAGCAGTGGGTTTATTTGGGGAGTTGAAAGCTGTTAACAAACATATCCCTTTGGTGGTTGGTTATAGTAGCATGTTGTCAGAAGGTTGGAGGAAGTCTTCACTTAGTCTTGTCTACTCCCTGCATGTTGTAGGTCTCCAGACTTGTGAACGAGGTCTATCACATGTACAATCGGCACCAGTATCCGGTTGTTGTTCTGAATATTTCTGTTGATTCAGGTGAGTTCCACTGAGATTGCAATAAAATTGGTCATTTATTTCTTTTTTTTTTTTTTTTTTAGGATTTGGGTGAAGATTTACAGAGTAAATTCACTTTTCATACAGCAGTTCACATATACTTTGTCTCATGTCATTGACCAAAATTTACAATGCAGCAGCTCCCCTCCCACTTCCTCCCCATAGTTACCTCCTCCCAGTGTCCATCGCTTCATACTCTTCTGCACCCTGAGAGGCCCATTGTCTGCCAACCCTGTATATGATCTTGGATACACTCTCCATTTAGACATACATAATTGTTTAGCTTGTTCACCCATCTATCCATCCCTATACCCATGTTTGCTTTCATTGACAACTCAGTATTGTATTTGCAAAGGGGTTCATATTTGTTGTTTGTACTGCCCATGTAACTCTCTCTGTCTTTCTCATCCTCAGTGCTGCCATATTGGTCACTCACATTTGGTACATTGCCCTTCTCTTCACCCAAATCAATATTTATCTCTATCTATCTAACAGCATTCCCTCCCCTTCCCTCCCACCCCTGGTAACCAACAAAGAAAATGTCCTCCAATATATAAACCTTTCCTTAACTTTTACAATAACGGACTAATACAATATTTGTCCTTTTGTGACTGACTTATTTCGCTCAGCATAATGTCCTCCAAGTTCATCCACGTTATGCGGTGTTCTGCAGATTCTACATTATTCTTTAGCGTTGCATAGTATTCCATTGTGTGAATGTACCAAAGTTTGGTTATCCATTCCTCAGTCTCACATGGATCATACGGTATTTCTATTTTCAGCTTTTCAAAGAAGTGCCATACGGTTTTCCGTAGTGGTTGTATCATTTTGCAGTCCCACTGGCAGTGTGCAAGAGTTCCAGTCTCCCCAAAGCCTTACCGCTGTTTGTTGTTCTGTTTTTTTGATCCATGCCATTATTGCTGGGGCAGATGGTATCTCAGTGTAGTTTTGACTTGTAGCTTTCTAATGGCTAATGTTCATGAACATCTTTTCATGTGTTTATTAGCTACCTGAAGGTCTTCTTTGGTGAAGTGTCTGTTCATGTCTTTTGCCTATTTTTTAATTGGATTGTTTGTCTTTTTGTTATTGAGGTGTTGGAGTGTTCTATAAATTCTAGAGATAAGTCCCTTGTCAGATATGTTATTACCAAATATTTTTTCCCAATCTGTAGGTTCTCTTTTGACTCTTTTGGAGAAGTCTTTGGAAGCACATAAACATTTAATTTTTAGAAGGTCCCAATCATCTGGCTTCTCTTCTGCTGTTGGTGCATTTTGAATTATGCTTGGTAGTCTATTTATACCAAATATTAGGGCCCTTAAGTTTGAGCCTAAATTTTCCTTGAGAAACTGTATAGTTCTAGGTTTCACATTTAAGTCTTTGATCCATCTGGAGTTTGTTTTTGTGTGTGGTGTGAGGTACAGATCTTGTTTCATTTTTCTGCAAATGGATCTCCAGTTTTGCCAGCACCATTTATTAAACAAACATTCTCTTCCCCACTTAATGGATTTGGGGCCTTTGTCAAAGATCAGCTGACTATAGGTCGATGGATCTATATCTGGGTACTCAATTCTATTCCATTGGTCTATGTATCTGTCATTGAACCAATACCAGGCAGTTTTGACTACTGTGGCTGTATAGTAGGTTTTGAGATCCGGCAATGTGAGACCTCCTACTTTGTTTTTCTTCTTCAGTAGTGCTTTGCTTATCCGAGGTCTCTTTCCTTTCCATATAAAGTTAGTGATCATTTTTTCTGGTCATTTATTTCTGAAAGAGAAAATGAATCATAGTGCTGGGCAGTGGCTGGAGCTAGGCTGTGGCTGGTGAGAAACTTGTAATAACAACCTATGGCAAAGTCATTTTATTCTTTATTTAGACTTTCCTGCTTTCTTCTGGAAAGTGTGCTAGTTTTATTATTAGGAAAATGTGATTTTTTTTTTCATGTCAACCATGGGAGAAAATAGAAAAATACCATGAAATTCTGTAAGGCTAAAGTGCCTTCTCTGATTTTGAAAATAATTTTATTTCATAGAGACATGTTTTTTTCTGATTATAAAAGTACTATTGTTCATTAGCAGTAACTTAAAATTTTGGTTTATTGACATCCAAGACTTTTTCTAAGTACTTACATATGTGCACCTTAAATAGACACACACGCACACCTTCTTTGGGGTGACAGTAATTTTGAGTAATTCTGTATCATGTTCTTTATCTTTAGACATGAACGTTTTCTTCTCCTTTGTTACTAAAAATTATTCAGGAACACTTTAATAGCTGTATTATATTCCATTCTGGGGAATAAAAAACCTTGAGTTTTACATTCTTTTTGGATACTTAAATTTGCAGTTTTTTTTAAGTATATGTACTGTTCTTATAATTAAGTCACCATCTGTATCTTTGATTATCTACGTAAACCAAATTCCTAGTTCAATTATTGGATCAGTGAATGTCATCATTTTTCAGACTTTTTTTAATTACATTCTAGACGAGTTGTACCAGCTTACACAGCTACCAACAATGGACTAGGTATTAGAATTTTAAAACTGAATGCAAGGGTGAGAAATATATTTCACTTTAGTTTGTAGTTTTCTTTTAGAATACATTTTTATGTATTTATTATTCCTAAGGCATTTGACTGCTAACCAGAAGGCTGGAGGTTCAAACCCACAAGCCACTTCTCAGAAGGAAGATTGGGCAATTTACTTCCATAGTGATACCACCTTGGAAAGCCAACAAGGGGTCACTATGAGTCAAATTGACTCAACGGTAGTGAGATTTTTTTTAATATATTTTTTTGCAATTCAAGTATTCAAATCCTTATATATTTTGTCTACTTAAAAAATTGTCCATCTTTTCCTTGTTCATTTGAAAGCTAATTTTATAGCCTATGGATATTAATCTAGGTGCTGTAATGTTTTTAATATTACTTTTGTTAAGAACACATGGGACAGTTCTATTGTTGATTTAAATGTAATCGTGTCTTTTCTTTTTGGCCTTAGAATGTGTGGATATCAATGTTACCCCGGATAAAAGGCAAATTTTCCTGCAAGAGGAGAAGCTTTTGTTGGCAATTTTAAAGACCTCTCTGATCGGAATGTTTGACAATGATGCAAACAAACTTAATGTCAATCAGCAGCCACTGTTGAATATTGAAGGTTAGTAAACTACAAGTATATAAACAGCTGCTTCAGCCTTTAGCTATTTCATGATACTGTCCTTATTTTTTCCAAGATAAAGTTTTTCCACATGGAACAAAATCTCTTTTGGGCAGGGATGAGTAGATACTGACAAATATCATCTGTCTGCTAGGTGGATAGAGACAGGTATTGATTTCGGTGAAGGGAAAGGCAGTGACCAACACAATAACACTAAGGAAGAGGAGGACAGAGAGCGGTGCACTAGAGGTACAGACAACAAAGATAAGCTCTTTTACATACACAGCACTGAGTTATCAGAGATAATAAACATTATCTACAGATAAGTAGATAAGTAGACAGGCAGAATGATCAGGTGTGTGTAGACAAAAGGGAACATACCCATGACCACATATGAGGCTGGCAGACGATATCTGTACATACATATTTGTATGTACTGTAAGAATGTCCATGTTACTAGAACTAATGGAGGGCAAAGTTTTGATAACTTCTTAGCCACAGTAGCCACACAGATGGAGCAAGTTGTTGGACCTGTGGGCTCGGTCGGGACCTTGGTCGCAGGGGACATCAAGCTCAACTGGCCCCACACACTCCACAAATCATTGTTCCTCCTCCTACTTTGCTAAGTAGCAACTGGGGTCTTAAAAGCTTTCAAGCAGCCATCTAGAAGCAATGATGGGTCTCTCCTCATCCAGAGCAAAGAAGAATGAAAAAACCAAAGATGCATGGAAACAATTAGTCCAACGGAGTAGTGGACCATGTGAACCTCAGCTTATGTGACCATGAGACCAGAAGAACTAGGTGGTGCTCAGCTACCACTGTCAGCCACTCAGAAAGGGATCAGTGTAGGAGATGCTGGATAGAGTGGGAGAACGATGTGGGACAAAACTCAAAATCATAAAAAAGACCAGGTTTAGTGGTCTGATAGGCTGGTGAGACCCCTGAGACTATGGCCCCTGGCTACCCTCAGGCTTGGAATTAAATTCACTCCTGTGACTTCCAGCCACAATAGACAGACATAGAAGGTGAACATTTACATCAGGTAGATACACTCCTTAGAATGCTCAATCATGGCAGTGTTTGCACAGGGAGATGGCTCAGGAGGCAGGAATGCATAGGAAAAAGGACACAGGGAAGAGGTAACTATAGGGAGGAAGTAGGAAGAGAGCTGTTACCTATTGTGGGGAATTGCAGTCACTGTCATGAAACAAAATATGTATGAACTGCTGGTATGGAAATTGAATTTGCTCTGTAAACTTTCACTCAATCAAAATTAAAAAAAAAAAAAAGAATAGAAGGAAGAAATGGAATGTGTGGGTAATTGCCCCAAGAGACCAGAACCAGATGGTGCCCAGCTATCATTACTGAATGTTTTGATCCTAGATCCTATCGAAGAATCTTGATCAAAAGGGGTAAAACTATGGAACAGAATTCCAAATTCTTATGGACTCTAGACTTTCCAGAGCCATTGAGGCTGGATGAACTTCCCAAAATACCTGATACCATCTTTAAACTTAAAATCTTAAACCAAAGATATCCCCCAAAGTCTTCTTTAAATCAACTACAATGAAACCTGTGAGAGTCAGAATGCAATGTGACTACCCTATTTTTCTCGGCCTCACAAGTTTTCCACCTTTGACATGGTACAGTCTTGCCACTTGCCTGTCACTCATTTTAGTGGGAGATACTGTTTTCCTTCTCTGGCAGGTTTCTGTCTTACACAGGTTCTGACTCTCACAGGTTTATCTTAACTAGTGAAAGAGGTCTGCCTTGAGCACAGTGCTCTTTGAAGGATCAAATTGACAACAGCAACTTGAAGGTTAGAGAAGGAACGTAGGGGCAGTGAGTTCATGTTAATGGTGGAGGAACCATTCAGAAAAGGAGGGTGAGGAGGGCTGCATAACGTGGATGTGATCAGTCACTGAATTGTACGTGTGGAAACTTGGATGTGATCAGTCACTGAATTGTACGTGTGGAAACTTGGATGTGATCAGTCATTGAATTGTACGTGTGGAAACTTGGATGTGTGCATGTTTTGCTGTGTACATTGTCAACAACAAAATGAAAAGAAATGATTGTTTTAAAAAAGCCATAAAATTAAAACAATGGTGGGAAGGAAAAAAGAGGCACGCAGGATATGCAGTGCTGTCTGTCTCGGCCTTAATGGTGCCTCCTTCTCTGCACTGTAAATAGTAGACATAAGCTCGAGCAGATGTGCACAGTGGCTGGGTTCTTAACCCCTTTGTCATCTCCTTTATTATGTGTCTTTGAGTTACTTCCTTTGTGGTTGCTAGGGGATTACAATTAACATGATAATCTTGTTTTGATTAGTACCAACTCAATTTCAGTCATAGACAAAAAGTTTGTTCCTACATAATTCTTTCCTCCTGCCTTCCTCTCTGCATAAATTATGTCTTTGTACACTATGTGCCTGTCAACACAGATTTAGATTTATAATTAATGCTTTATTAGTTTTTCAAATCACATAGGAGAAAAATAGAATTACAAACAAAAAATGCATTTGTGTTGCTGTTAATTTTGACACACCGTGATCCCATGTGACAGAATAGGTTTGCCAGGTAGGGTTTTCTGGTCTCTGGTCTTTTTTTTTTTTTTTCCTTATTGCGTTTTTGGTGAAAGTTCACACAGCAGATTCAGTTCTACTGTAGCAGCTTTTACACAGATTGCTCCATCCCATCATTGCCATTCTGTTTGTTCTGTTTCCTTTGATCTAGCTTCCCTTCCTTGCCTTCTCATCTTTGCTTTTGGGTGAATGTTGACTGTTGGTCTCATATAGTTGATTGTTGAAGGGACACATTACTCATGGGTGGTATTGCTTGTTTTACAAGCCAGTCTCTTATTTGGCTGAAAAGTGATCTCCAGGAGTAGCTCCAGTGCAGAATTCAAGGAGGATCTTAGGGCAGTGATCTTAAGGGTTCTGGTCTCAATTAGTCAGAAAATCAGTGTTCTACATTTTTCTCCCGCTGTATCTGAAACCTTCAATTGTGACCTGGTTGGGACAGTTGGTAGTGGTGGCTGGGCAGCATCTAGTTCTTCTGGCCTCAGGTTAGATGGCCACGGTTCGTGTGGGCTCTTAGTCCTATGGACTAGTTTTTTCCTCGAGTCTTTGGTTTCCTTCCTTCTCTTTTGTACTGGAGGAGTGGAGACCAGTAGTTGTATCTTAGATGACTACTCACAAACTTTTCAGACCCCAGATGCTATTCACCAAACTAAGGTGTAGAAGGTTAGTTTTAAAACTTTGTTATGCCAATTGTAACATACTGCACAAAAACAGTATTCCACATCCTACTTTGGCGAGTAGCGACTGGGGGTCTTAAAAGCTTATAAGCGGCCATTTAGATGCAATGATGGGTCTGTTCTTGTCCAAAGCAAAGAAGAATGAAGAAAACCAAAGATACATGGAAACAGTTAGTCCAAGGGACTGGTAGACCATGCAATCCTCACCTTCTGTGACCGTGAGACCATGATGTTGGTCGGCTGCCACTGTCAACCACTTGGAGGTGGATCGGTACAGGAGATCTGGAATAAAGTGGGAGAACAATGTGGAACAGAACTCAAAAAAAAAAAAAAAAAGGTTTGCTGGTCTGATACAGCCTGGTGAGACCCCTGAGACTGGTCCCTAGTTACCCTTCAGGTCTGGAATTGAACTCATTGCTATAGCTTCCAGCCCAGTAACAGACAGGCATATGGGGTGAACAGATAGATACATTCCTTGGAGTGATCAATTGTGGGGGAGCAGAAGAGCAGTGTTTGCACATGGAGATAACTTGGGGGGCAGGAGTGCATGGGAGGGAAGGACATAGGGAAGAGATAATTTTGGGGAGGAAGTAGGAAGAGAGCTGTTACATTGTGGGGAACTGCAGCCAATGTCATGAGACAAAATGTCTATGAGCTGCTGTATGGAAGGTAAATTTGCTCTGTAAGCTTTCCCCCAATCACAAAAAAAAAAATTTAAACAAAACACCTTATTACAAAGAAAATAAAGCTACTCATTAAATATCAGTAAAAAGATAAATAAATCTTTTTCATGCCAGTTGACTAGGCTGTCCCATGAGACTATGGTCCTAAGCCTTTTAACTCAGTAAACCAATCCCATGTGCTTTCTGGGTATGTCTAGGAAGTCTCCGTAACCCCCGTGTGCTTTATTATGCATATGGATGTATATGTAGCACACAGGAACATGTATATGCATATGCCTACAGATACACCTGTGCACACCTGTACACACACTTACATATGCCTTCCTGTGCATACATATGCATACATTCCTACCTGTGTAACCACACACATATTTCTTGGTGGTTATTACTCCTTTTGCAAAATTGTCTATGCATTTTTATGCAAATAACATGCGAGTTATGTTTTTTGGCAACTCTGTCCTCCCCCGAGATGTTTTCATAACCACACTATGCTAATTTTTTTACAGCAACATGTTAAAAATTTACACCTTGAGGGGAGGGGACGCTTGGCCAAGAAGTATAACGTGTGTGTTATTTGTGTGAAAAGTGTGTTTTTTCTTTGGTCATGTTGTACACACCTCACTTGTATTTGGTATTGCTTTTCCCATCACCAAAAATAAGTGTCTGCTATCTAGGAAGTGAGCTCTGGTGGCGTAGCACTTAAGGCATTTGACTGCTAACCAGAAGGCTAACTAATGGTTCAAACCCACCAGTCACTCCTCGGAAGGAAGATTGGGCAATCTACTTCTATAGTGATACTGCCTTGGAAACCCAGGGAGGGGTCACTATGGGTCAGATCCGGCTCGATGGCAGTGAGTTTGGTTTGGTTTTTATCTAGGAAGTGAGTTGCCCTTTCTCTCTGCCATCCCTGGTAGTTATCAAAGAACATTGCTTTCTGTGTATAGATGTATTGACTTTTTATAACAGTGGGACCATACAATATTTGCCCTTTCGGGCTTGGTTTATTTCATCAGCACAATGCCCTCCTGATTCATCTGTGTCATAAGATGTCTGGTAGGCTCCTTGTTACTCCCTATAGCTGTCTACTATTCCACTGTGTGTATGTACCATAGTTGGCTTATCCATTCAGCCCTCGGAGTACGCTAAGGTCATTTCCATCTTTTTGCTGTTGTGAATGGTACTGCAGTGAACATGGGTGTACATGTATCTAATCATGTCGCTGTTCTCAAATCTCTAGGATATAAACCTAAGAGTGTGACTGCTGGGTCATGACGTATGTCTGTTGCTAGCCTTTTGAGGAAGCGCCATTGGGCTGTAACCTTTATGGTATCAGATCACCGTGTCTTTCTCCCAGGAAGCACCTCGGTGGGTTTGAACTGCTGGAGCAGCTGAGCTGTAACCATTGGCGTATTTACCTGTGCGGTTGCCCGTAGCGATGCTCTCTGTCCCACTTCTGCTCAGTCCCTTACCCTCTTCTTCACTGGTGTCTTACTCAGGGAACATCGTGAAAAGGCACTCGACAGAGATGGAAAGGCCTCTGCCAGAAAGGCAGGAGGACCCCGCTTTGTCCCGGACTCGAGGAGAAGACAGATGCGCAGCCGTTTCCAGACTGAGAGAGGCCTTTTCTCTTCACCACACAGCTGGGCATCAGCCTCCGGGCCTGGGAGCTCCTGAGCCGAGACGGGGTGCTCCTGGACCAGGAACCAAGGGCCGATTTTCTAGCCCGTCAGATACCCTGCACCCCCAGAAGCCTGTCTCTGGCAGGAGCACCTGTAGCCCTCAGGACGTGGGGGCGGGTCCACGTGAGGGCACCCGCAATGTTATGGACAGAGTGGAGATGGAGACAGACGCGGGGCCCGCCAGCAGCGCAGCGGGCTCAGAGGCAGGGGACAGCAGCCCAGAGGGCGGCAGCCGCTTCAGCAGCAACCTGGCCACCAGCTCCCCTGAAGACGGAGTTTCACAAGAGAAGGTGGAGTCTTGTGAGACAGAGCCTGAAGCGGCCTGTCATTCAGCAGTGGAGTGCCACGTAGACCAAGGAGGTACTGGATGTGAACGGAGGCGTCTGCCACAGCCCACTGACCCCTCATCCTCACACGTAAAGCGTTTTAAACAAGAAGAAATTCCTTCGGCGTCGGACGGTCCTCGAAAGGTGATGACTCCACAGAGCAGCGCGGTGCCCCTGGTGGACGTAGCTGTGACGATCAGGAGGAAAATCGTGCCTCTGGCCTTCTCCATGCGTGCGTTAGCTGAGCGAGTAAAACGGCTGTGTCAGCAGGGACAGCAGAGAGAAGACAAAGGGAGTTACAGGAAATTCAGGGCAAAGATCAGCCCCGGAGAGAATCAGGCAGCCGAAGACGAGCTGAGGAGGGAGATAAGGTAACACCTGTCCTGAAGACGGGGGTGGCTTGCTTCTGGTGGAGCTCTGCCGCGTGAGCCGAGGACGGTCCCCAGGCCGCAGCCCTGCCGCTGTGGGCGCTTTCGTTCTCCTCGTTCTGGCTCTGCTTTTCAGGGCTGGGGGGTCGCCCCTGGCTGTGCGCTCCTGTGTGGCCCTGAAGGAGCACCTGACAAGTGCTCCGGGGGTCTTCCCTGCACCTCACACACTCACCGTCGCTCCTCCCCTCCCTCCCTCCTCACGGCACCTCCTCTCACGTTCTGACTTTGGAGGCTTTTGACTCCACGATTGGTCCCCATCAGCCTGGCAGTGCGTCCTGGGCAATGGTTTTGCATCCTCCAACTTTGTTCGTTGCCTCTCACGTCCATCAAATTAACAAACCAGCTGCAACTGCGTTGACTGGGACTCCTGGTGTCCCCCATGTGTGTCTGAGCAGAAGTGTTTGCCATTGGGTTTTCAGGGGCTGGTTTTTGGGAGTAGATCAGACCTTTTTTCTGAGGCACCTCTGGGTGGATTGACCTCCTGACCTTTCAGGTGGCTGCCAAGTGCTTAACCGTTTGTGCAACGCAAGCACGCCTCTGTTGGATTGATTTCCTTCACATAGCTCTTTCACCATGCTCTTCTTGGGCTTGAAAACTTTCTAGAATTTTCCCTTTCCTTGCTGTCAGTCCAGATGCTAATCAGAGCCTTCTTGACCCCGGTCGATCCCTCTTCCTGAAGGTCTTTCCTCCCACGGTGACTTCTCCCTGCTTCAGATCCGTGGCAGCTTGGGGGCCCTGTGTTGCCCCCCATTTCTCACTTCAGTGAATATTTGGGAATGTTACAGATGGCACATGTCAAACCTGTAGTGTTAAGAATCTGGCCCAGGAGAGGCTAAGTGTAGAGGAGGGTCACCTTAAAGAAACGTCCGGGTGACAACAGGAAGAGGCTGGTGTAGAAGAGGGTCCCTGAAACATACCTGGTGACACGGGTAATAGAAAACCCTGGATGCTGCCACTTTGATTTTCTCCTTTATACTCTTTCTGGAAACGCGAGGACAGAGAGCTCCTTAAGCCAGTGTCAGCAGAATGTATGTGCTGCGGGGGAGGGGAGGGGCGCCGAGACAGTGTCCAGGAGCAGTTGGCGAGGACTCGGCCCCCACCACGTTTGCCTTTTTGACTTATGCCAGGAAGCCCAGAGCTGTGATTCTCTTTACTTTGTTAATTTTATTGTAGTAAAGTATCGTTATGGCTGTGAGCTGTCCAGTCCATTCGGACTTAATGGGTGACCCTTGTGACAGAGTAGAACTGCTCCAGGGGTTTCTGAGGCTGTAACTTATGGACCATGTCACCAGGTCTTTCTCCCACAGAATGGCTGGTGGGTTTGAACCAGCGACGTTTTGATTAGCAGCTGAGAGCCTAACCACTGTGTCACCGTGGCTTCTGTGGTAAAATACATCCACAGTTTTCCCTTGTAGCTGTTTTTAAATGTGCCGCCCAGGGGCGTTATTCATTCGCAATGCAGCCACCACTTCTCTGAGAGTGCTCAGGTACAACATTTTGAGTTTTTAGTGCCAAATTCTCTGAAATATCGAACTTTGATCTTTTTTCTCTTTGTGCTTGTGCTTTGTCTCACGTGTTACTGAGATGTGCAGTGCCCTGTACACAGGTAGCTCGCTAAATGCACTGTGTTTGTATGGCACTTTCATCTGTACCACACAGGCTCTGCCTAATTTAGATGATACAGTCTTCAACACCAGGTATTTTATTGATCACCCAATGTCATTGTGGTTAAAATTTGGTACCAGTAAGAATCAGGGAGCCTGTTAAAAACACAGTCTTTGTACACGAGTGTTCACTGCAGCACGACTCACGGTAGCCAAACGGTAGAAACCAGCCAGGGTCTGTCAGCAGATGACGATGACGCACATACACACTGTGGCATTTTCACACCATGGAGTAGAACTCACCCTTAGAGAGACATGAAGCGCTGATCTGTGCTGCAGCGTGGATGGACCTTGAAGACGCGGTGCTCCGTGAAGTAAGCCAGTCACGAAAGGACACGTGCTTACAGGAGTGTGTAGGCTGGGCAGATGTGTAGAGACAGAGGACGGGTAGGCGGTTACCGGAGCTGGGGGAAGGAGGAGTGGGGAGTTAACTGCGGAAGGGACGCAGTTTCTTCTGGGGAAGAGGAGACAGTGGTGACGGTGGTGTGACACTGATTGTCATGAATGCCACAGGTGGTATGTTTGGAAACGGTTACAGTAGCAAAGGTTATGTTCTGTACGGTGCCTCAACTCGTGTGAGAAACACATTTGGCCTTAAAGGTCAGGCAGTAATTGGAGACACCGAAGTGACAGTGATGGGTAGCTGCTTCTGGTTTTTTAAAACATCTGTGTTTCAAATTGCAACTAAATATATCAGGTTGTTATGTTTTGCTGCTGCTGCTTTGTTTCAGCCAGATGCCTTGAGATGCCTCGTGTTGTGTTTGGCAAGTAAATGGGAGATTTACATGCAAAAACCTGGAAGCCCTGGGGCTTCAGGCAGCCAGAGCCCCTTGGTACGGGTCCTGGGAGAGTGGGGGGTCAGCACTAGGGAGTTGGTATCAGTGCCAGTTACCAGGGTGCGAGGAGCGCTGGCGGCATAATGGTTAAGTGCTCAGCTGCTGACCCTAACGAGAGTCAGCAGGTCCACGGGAGAAAGCCCTGGCCATCTGCTCCCGTCACGACAGCCTCGGGGACCCTCTGGGGCAGGTCTTCTCTGTCACGTGGGGTCTCTGTGAGCTGGAATCGACTCAGTGGCATCCACCACCACCACTTGCACACCAGCTCCAAAGCCACTTGGCTTTGCCCCGCTGCACATGGACCAGGGACACATTTCTCCTGGTGCAATGTCAAACTGTGTCAGTAGAGGGCGCCCGAGGGGCCCTGCAGGGCAGGGCAGGAGAAGCTGCCGCTCCACTTGCTCCTGCAGCCCCGCTGCCTGCGGGTGCGCGCGCACTCGCTCTCTCTGGCAATCCAGCAGACTTCCCAGCTGCCCCACGGGATGGGCTGCAGCCATCCCCACCCGCACAGGGTCTGAATCTCAGCCTTTGAGGATGGGGCCTCCCCGGAGAGTTCCCTCCCTCAGCCTGCCCCTCAGCCCCGGAGGGAGCTGCCACTTCCTGGATTTGCTCGTGTTGTGTTGCTTACCTTTGTCATTTCTCGTTTGCTCATGTGTAATGCTTTGGTAGGGATGTTCCCGTTTAGGTTACTAGTGTGGTGGTGGTTTTCTGACTGGACTCTAACCAATACCTGCCTGAATTGGTACAGGAATGGTTCTGGGAGACAGAATCTCAAAGATAGGATTTGGGATTGGTTTGGTCATGACCTTGGGCTTGACCTCAGTGCCAATAGGCAATCTTGTTAGGTGCCGTGGAGTTGATTCCAACTCATAGTGACCCTAGATGACAGTAGAACGGCCCCATAGGGTTTTCTAGGCTATAGTCTTTACAGAAGGTCTATTCTTTAGCGAAAGCTTCTAGGTGGGTTTGAACTGCCAACCTTTTGGTAGCAGTCAAGCACGTAACAATTGCACCACCAGGGCTCCTTAGTAGGAAACGGGAGGCTAGTAATCCTGGCAGCAGAGGCATCGTGACTAATCGCACTGTCATCTATGTTGATTGTGATAACGCTGCCGACTCAAGTGGCTGCTGTACTTGACTGGCATTGGTGGGGACCCAGGGCTGCGGTGTGGATGGCGCGTCCAATGTTTTCTGAGCTGTACTCGACCGGCGATGGTGGGGACCCAGGGCTGCGGTGTGGGTGGTGCACCCTCTGTACATGGCGCACTTACAGAAACAAAGTGGTAGCTCAAGTCACTGAAAACCAGCTTCTGTGTCAACTTTAAGATTATTTTCTTGTAGCCAGAGGGAAGATATCCATAAGGATCAATTCTCCCAACATTTAACTGTACAGGTTACAGAATTACAAGCCATTTCTCATGTGAAAGTTAAGAGTGGTGCCTGTCTGTTGTCTGGACTCTGCCTTATATCATGTTCAATGGCATTTGGAAGCACCCACCAGAGCCCCAAGCAGGTGGCCCTTCTGACTCATTGCCCCAGGTTCCATGCCAAGGGTAGCAGATACTAGAGGATCAATGCCCAGTGTCAACAAACATGTGCTCTTTTACACTGTTGGGAGTGTACACTTTCACAGATTTTCCATCAGTGTGAAAAGTGTGCATACTGAAGCTGCTTCTGAGGACTCAGCTTACAGTCCCACTCGCTCAAGTGAGCAGATAGGCGCGGTGCTCGTTTTAGCTTGGTTTGTGTTACTGAAGTTGGAAACAGCTCAAGTGTCCTTCGATAGAAAATTGGCCAAACACACTGTAGTACAATGAATTCTTATATGGCCATTAATGACATAAGTATATGTATGAAAAAACTCACTGCCGTCCTGTCGATTCAGTTTAACTCGCAGAGACCCCTCCTTGTGTATCCGAGGAGGTATCACTGAGGAAGTAGATCGCCCAGTCTTCCTTCCAGGGAGTGGCTGGTGGGTTTGAACCGCCAGCCTTCAGGTTAGCAGTCAAATGCCTTAGTTAAGTGATAGAAGCTGCATGGTACAAAGAATGTAATTCTTTACTTTTTTTTGCTGTTTGATTTTTTAATAATATTTGACTGTGTTTTCCGTGAAGATTCACCCGGCAGTTCAGGTTCCCATTCAAGAATTTCTGCACAAGGTGCTCAGTGGCGTTGGCCCTGCCCTTCCCGATGTGAGTGTCCTCACTGTTTGCACTCAGGTGGTTCTGTTTCCATTCATCTACTTTCCCTGCCTCCTCCCCTTCTCATCTTTGTTTTGAAGTAATTGCTGATCATTTGGCTCATTTTTTATTTTTCAATTTGTTCATTATTTTTAATGTATAGAGGTGTGGAAGGGTGACACCAGTTTGTGTTAATAGTCATATTGTTAGGTGCCCTTGAGGCCATTTTGATGCATAGCGACCCCATGTGACAGAATACTACTGCCCCTCCTTAGAGTTGTCTGGCTGGTAATAATCTCTATGGGAGCAGATTGCCAGGTCTTCTTCCTCAGGAGCCACTGAGTAAGTTAACCGTCACACCACCAGGCCTCCTCGGAAGGACAGAAACTCATTTGCTAACAGTAGCAGCTCACATGGCCTCGGGAAAGTTGTGTGAATGAGCGAGTAACTAACGCTCTGTGTGGAAAATGGGCTATTAGGTACTTTCTCTTGTTTCATGTTATTGTCTGAATTTTTTCCTATAGTGCCGTTTTCTAATCAGAAAAATAATCCCTTAAAATGCCTGATAACTACTGTTCTGTCTGCCCGCAGTAAAACGATGTTCGCAGAAATGGAAATCATTGGTCAGTTCAACTTGGGATTCATAATAACCAAACTGAACGCGGACATCTTCATAGTGGACCAGCACGCGACCGACGAGAAGTACAACTTTGAGGCGCTGCAGCAGCACACCGTCCTCCAGGGCCAGAGGCTCATCGCGTGAGTTCAGGCCTGTGTGCAGAATCTCCCGTGTTGGTTCACTCGGAGAGCGTGATGTCTGGTGGTTTCTGCGTGTAACGGTTTTTGTTTTGCTGTAAGCAACATTATATTCCTACAGCACACCTTGACGCCTTTTCCCGTGTTCAGTTACAGCTACCACTTACGATGCGCCAGGACTGTGGGAGCTGTTGTATGCGTCAAGTCACTGAATCCTCACCAGACTGTGAGGCTGTTAGTAGCATCACTCCTACCATTCCCATTTTATAGGTCACAAAACTGAGGCACACGTAGAAAGGTGGAAGAACGTGCCAAGGCCACATAGCTAATGGTTCCTTTAAGTATCAAACCTTTTTAGCAGTTAAAAGATGTTGATCACTGTCCAGAAGATCCTTTCTGTCGAAGCATTTTTTTTTTAATTAATTTATTTGGTCGAGAATATATCCAGTAAACATACACCCATCCACCAGTTCAGCACTTTGTACATGTCCCATTCAGTGACGCTGTTTACATGCTTGGAGATGTGCAGCCATTTGCACCCTCCTCCGAGTTGTCCATGAACATAAACTTCCTGCCCCATGGTTCCTGTCTACTTTGTGAGTGGCTGTTGTCAATTTGGTCCCCTGTAGCTAGGCCTTAAAAGAGCGCAGTGCACAAGACGGCCATTTGTTACTCCTTCAGCTAAATGGTTGTTTGCTTCTCAGACACCTTCAGGGGAGATTTTTGGTTTGAGGTTTAAAGATAATCTCAAGGCCTCATCCCCTGTTCATGGCTCCAGGAAGTCAGAATCCTATGAGAATTATTTATTTTGTATTGTGATTTGGGTGAAAGTTTACAGAGCGAATTCATTTTCCATACAGCAGTTCATACACATTTTGTCTCATGACATTGACTGCAATTCCCCACAGTGTAACAGCTCTCTTCCCACTTCCTCCCCATAGTTACCTCTTCCCTGTGTCCTTCCCTCCCATACTCTCCTGCCCCCTGAGCTGTCTCCCTGTGCATACACTGCCCTTCTGTTCTCCCATGATTGATCTCTCCAAGGAGTGTATCTACCTCATGTAAGTGTTCAGCCCATAGTCCTGTCTTTAGTTTGGCTGGAAGTCACAGGAGTGGGTTCAATTCCAGACCTGAAGGATAACTAGAGGCATAGTCTCAGGGGTTTCACCAGGCTCTATCAGACCCTCCAACTTGGTCTTTTTTTTTTTTAATAATTTTGAGTTTTGTTCCACATTGTTCTCCCACTCTGTCCAGGATCTCCTAAACAGATCCCCCTTCGAGTGGTTGACAGTGGTAGCCAGGCATTATCTAGTTCTTCTGGTCTTATGGTTATAGAGACTGATGAATTTGAAATTCTGTTCCGTGTGTTCCCCCTTTTGATCAGGAGTCTTCTGTGGACTCCGTGATCAACATGTTCAATAGTGGTAGCCGGGCACCATCTGGTTCTTCTGGTCTCAGAAAGAGGAGGCAGTTTTCATGGAGGCACATTCTTCCTCTGTTGCTCCAGGTGAATAGAGACTAATTGTTGAGCCTTGGAGGGCCACTTGGAAGCTTTTAGAGCCCAGGCCCTATGTACCAGTCTCGGAAGTAGAGCAGAAACAGCAAACACGTTCATTGGGATGTCCCATGAAGCTGTGACCTGAAATCTCCGAGCCAGGGTAGCAAGTCCTGGGAGGTTTGGGTTGTACACAAGCAGCCTCAGCAGCTGCTTGTTTTGGTCACTGTTGTGTTTGCTCAAAGCAGTTCAGCGTGTCTAAAAATGGAACAGCCCAGTTGTGACAGCTGATGGTGCCTCACGTCGACCCCAGTGTGTCAGAGGAGACTGTGCTCCACGGAGTTTCTGGTGGGTCATTTTTCAGAAGCAGATTGACAGGCCTTTCTTCTAAGGTGCTTCTAAGGAAACGCACCCTCCAATCTTGCGGCTAGTAGCTGAGCGCATTAACTCTGCACCACCCGAAGCACTTGTTGTTAGGTGATGCTGAGTCCATTCTGACTCACAGGGATCCTGGAGGATGGAGTAGGACTGCCCCATAGCATCTCCTAGGCTGTACTCTCTAGGGGAGCAGCATTACAGGGAGTAGATTGCTAGAGCTTTTCTCTTAAGGAGCCAGCCTTTTGGTGAGCAGCCAAATACCTAACCACTGTGGCACCAGAGCTCCGTTATGGACTCCTGTGACATTGTGCCTAAGGCACTTGACTGAAGGCTGGCGGTTCAAACCCATCAGCCACTCCTCGGAAGGAAGGTTGGATAATCTACTTCCGTAGTGACAGTGCCTCAGAAACTCAAGGAGGGGTCGCTATGAGTCGAAGACGACTCAATGGCATAACAACAACAACAACAACAGAATTCCCGTTCTGGAAGCCAGCACCGGCCTGTGTCACTCTTTATCTGTAGATGGGACTCACTGCAGAGGCTGTCTTGCCGAAGATGACGTCTCTCTCTCGCCAAATTGGCTGTTTCCCACGCATCACTCTGCCGGGTGGTGTGATGGTACGTTGTACAAGCAGAAGCCTTTTTTTAAGCGAAGGAAAGAGAAGAGGTCATGGGTGTGCATTTGGGAAATTAAACTACGTAGGAAGATAAACTCTGATCCCAGCAGAAGTAGAGCCCAGCCTGGAGAAAGCACTCCTGCTTCCCAGAGCGCTTGATTTCAGTGGGATGCTGGCTCTCCTTGTCGTGACTGTACGGCAGGAGTCGATAAATGGGGATCATAGACATTTCATAAACTGCTTCATAATACTGGACTTTCCTGCCCTTTGAGAGTTTAGCCATTTTACACAGAGAAGGTCAAGTTTTGCGATGTTTCAAGTTGACCTAGAGAATCCCAGGCTGCTTTGGACCCCAGAGGGACCACACGTCAAGGCCAAAGGATCAAGACCAGCATTCCATCCTGTCCTTCAGGGCCTTTCCTAACCCTCTTCCCCTGGTTTCCACACTTGAGCCCCCCTGGCCCTCTTTCCTTTTCCCTTGATAGGCCCAAGGACGTCTCATGGGGCCGTTAGGAAGGATGAAGTAGCCCTATACATATGACCCTGGAAATCCCACAGGTCCAACCAAGGGCCTTTGCCCAAACTGTTCTTTGCTGGAACACCTGTCTCCGCCCCCACCCCTTATCTAATTAACTCCCACTCACTTCCAGCTCTCAGGCTAGAAGCCACTCCCCCTTCCTGACCTGCCCCCAGGTCCAGTCTCACTTGCCATGCACTGTGAGGGCACTGGCTGTCTTCTCCCTCACTCCCACTGTAGTTCTCCCCACTCCCAGCTCGTAATTACAAGTGGTTGTGTGACTTTGATTGATGTCTTTCTTCCCCACCTGAGCCACTCGTTCCATGAGGCCAGAGACCCAGCCTGTGTGTGCTCACCAGTGCGTCGCCTGCCTTTAGCACTGTTTATCTCATGAAGCACTTAGTAAATCCAAGAGGGGGTCCCTGGTGGTGTGGTGACTCACTGCTGGAAACCAGAAGAGTAAAGAATGGAGGTTCGAGTCCATGGTAGGGCCTCAGCAGAAAGGCCTGGCCGTCTGCTTCTAAAAAAGCAGCCATGGAAAGCCCCGTGGAGCCCAGTTCTTCTCTGACGCACACAGGGTCACCTTGTGTTAGAACTGACTCAGTGGCAGCTGGTTGGGTCCGACCCAGGAGAGATGGATGGAAGGATGTGTGAGTGATGCAGGCGAGGAAGCAACGGGAGAGCCAGGCAGCCTGCTGATTCAGCTTCTGAGTGCCTGGGACGACCTACTCCGCTTTCCCGTTACCTTTATTGTGAGGAGGAACAATGGCATTCATGCGTTCTTATTAAGGGCAGGATCCAAAAGAGACCAGTCCAGTGGGGGGATGGCAGACTTGCTTCTGCAAGTGCTTTGTTCTGGAAGGAACTTGGAAAATTGAAAGGAACTTCGCAGAAGGTTGTGTAGTAGGGAGGACACTTAGCTGAATAAAGGGCGGATGCTCACTTTGCGTTTTGCACTTCATTCAGAATAGCACGTTGTTGCTCAGTTTTCGTTTCTGCTTTCTAGTGCATTGTTTGACTTCAAGACAAGGGTCCTCTTCTGTTTTTCAGACCGCAGCCTCTCAATTTAACTGCAGTCAATGAAGCTATTCTGATAGAAAATCTGGAAATTTTCAGAAAGAATGGCTTTGACTTCATAATTGACGAAGATGGTAAGTTCCTAAGGAAGGACTATAGAATCGTGTCTTTTTTTAAAAAAAACTTTTTACTATGATTTGGGTGAACGTTTACGGAGGACGTTGGTTTTGCATGCAACAGTTCATACACGTTTTGTTGCGCGCCGTTCACTGCAGTTCCCACAACGTAATGGCACTCTTCCCACATCCTCTCTGTGTTTCCTATTTCCCTTCTTTTTCTATTCCTTCTTGTCTTCTCAGCTTTATCCCCGGGCAAACGCAGCCCTTTTAAGCTCATCTGGTTAGTTTGAGAGTCGTGTCTTCCTAGAGTAGAAACGGTCTTTGAGGTCACAGAGACAAGTCTCTTCATTTTAGAAGAGGTGAAAGAGGTTCCCAAAAAAACTTTTTGCAGTATTTTGCCCTCTCTCAAATGTTCATTTAGCACTAAAGTGAAGTGCATCTTTTTGGTAGACTTGTGTTTCTGGAGTAGTTTTAGGTTTACAAGAAAAACTGCAGACAGTACAGAGACTTCTCTCATGTGCTCCCCGCCTGTCATTTCTCCTGTTTGTGGTTTTCATACAATGGCTTGTTCCCCAAATTGTGTTCTTTTAGCTCCGGTCACTGAAAGAGTGAAGTTGATCTCCTTGCCAACCAGTAAAAGCTGGACCTTTGGCCCCCAGGACATAGATGAGCTGATCTTCATGCTGAGTGACTCCCCAGGAGTGATGTGCCGACCTTCCCGGGTCCGACAGATGTTTGCCTCCAGGGCCTGCCGCAAGTCCGTAAGTACGCCAGGACTGACGGACGCCACTGCCAGACGCCACTGCCAGGGCCTGGAGCGTCCGCACAGGCTCGTAGCCCACGCAGCTTTCCAGTTCAGCTCCTGATTTGCTCAGCGTTAAGTGCCGTAAGAGATTCGCTAATCAAACCAGTCGCCATCAGTTCGACTCCGACCTGTGCTGATGGTGCGCTGGTGGGAGCCAGAGGCAGATCACCGGGCCTTTCTTTCGCCGCGCCTGTGGGTGAAATCGAATCACCAGCCTTTCGGTTAGCAGCCAAGGGCTTACCGCTCGCACCTCCCAAGGGCTCCATTGTACACAGAGACCCACATCAGTCTCTTCAGCCTCGCAGAACAACAGGGTCTGGCCTTTCACTCTGACCCATGATCATTGACCTTCCTCACCTCCCTGAAGCAGCATCCTCCCCCTTGAGGTTTTCTTTATCCTGACCCAGTTAGCTGTTTACACACAGTGCTCGTGTCGGCTGTAACAGACTGCCATAGACTGGGCGGCTTAAAGCAAGAGAAGTGCATTCTCTCGTGGTTCTGGGGCCAGAAGTCCCAAATCACGGTGTCAGCAGGTGTTCTGGTTCCCTAGTGCCACTCTAACAAGAAATATACCACTAATGGGACAGCCTTAATAAATAGGAGTTTATTCTCTCACAGCTTGGAGCCTTTAAGTCCAAGTTCAAAGTGCCAAGCTCTAGGGGCTGGGTGGATACCCCTCAACCTTGGGGTCCAGCTCTGCTTCCTGCTCCCAGCCCACTGGAGCTAGAGGCGTTTCTTCACTCAGACAGCTTTTGGCTGCTGAGGCTGACAAGCCCAAGGTTGACAAGTAAAAAGGCACAGTCCCGATGTTACCAAACCACACGGCAGGGCATTAATTTAAGTCCATTGTAAGTCCCAAGGCCAGCAGAGCATGGCAGGCTGCTGAACAAAGACACAGCTACATGCAGGGTCCAAGTGTGCCGTAAGCTAGAAACTGTTCCCCAAGGCTTCTTCTTAGATACAGGAAGCAGACCACATCCTAAAGGCAGCTACTCAGCTGCTTGTGGTAGATCCCACCATGGAGTTGATTACCAAGTCTCATCATGGGGAATAATTACCACCAGCTGCCCAGCCATTCAACCAGGCCCAGCCAAGTTGACATACAAATTTAACTACCACAGCAAGGGTTCCTTCCAGAGGCCCCCAGGGACCATCCGTTCCATGCCATCTCCCAGCTTTTGGCAGCTTGCACGGTCCTTGGTGTTCCTGTCTGTGAGCTATTTTCGTTCATCCCAAGTCGGGACGATAATTCCCTTCTTTCTGGTTACTTGCTATTGAGCCAGTTCACACCTGTGATAACCCCGTGGGTACTGAGGACAACACTCCACGGGGCTTTTCAGATTCTGACCTTCTGAGTGGCTTGACACGACTGACCTTTTGGCTGGTAGTGGAGCGCTTAACCATTTGTGCCACCCAGGGGCCCTCAATCTTTGACCTGTAGGTGCTTTGCTGCTTCCTGCATCACTTGGCCATCTTCCCATGTCCCCTGCTGTCCTGCTCTTTCATAAGGACCCCACTGCTCTGTGAGCTCATGTTAGCAGGTGTCTCAAGGCCCTAGTTCCCAGCAGGGTACCAAGCACAGGACCTAGGGGTTAGGACTTGAGCATGTCTTTTTGGGGATACCATTCAGCCCATAACATGCACATTGTTCATCTGTGACCATGTGGATCTTAAAAACGTGTGGCTGCTGGGCCACACCCCACTGTACCGGTTGCCCCCGTGTTCTGGTTCCCTAGTGCTGCTCTGACGGGAATGTACCACCAGTGGGACGGCTGTAACAAACAGGAGTTTATTCTCTCACAGCTTCGAGGCTTTCAGTCCAAGTTCAAAGTGCCAGGCTCTAGGGGCTGGGTGAAAGCCCCTCAACTTGGGGTCCAGCTCTGCCTCCTGCTCCCAGCCCACTGGAGCTAAAGGCTTTTCTTCACTCAGCTGCTGGCTGCTGAGGCTGCCAAGCCCACAGTTTTGATAAGTAAAGAAGCACAATCCCGATGTTACCAAACCACACAGCAGGCCATTAATTAAAGCCCATTGAAAGTCCCAAGGTCGGCAGAGTATAGCAGGCTGCTAAACAAAGATACGGCTACACACAGGATCAAGCGTGCCATAAGCTAGAGACCGTTCCCCAAAGCTTCTCCTTACATGCCGGAAGCAGCCACATTCCTAAGGCAGCTACTCAGCTGCTCCAATAGATTCCACCATGGAGTTGATTACCAGTCTCATCATGGGGAGTACTACATCCAGCTGCCCAGCCACTCAACCAGGCCCAGCCAGGTTGACACAAAGTTAACTATCACACCCCACGTGTCCTTCGGCCAGCACGGGTCTCTCAGGCGTCCCAGGCCGGGTATCATGCAGATGGAAGCCATGGCTAGTGCCGTGCTTGATGCCACAGAAACCCACAGGAAGTGGATCTGTGTCACTGGGGCAGTTGAAGATGCTAGGATGCTCTTCCTTCATGCATTCAGCAAATCTCTTTCTAGCCGCCGCTTTTGCCCCACATTGTTCCAGGTGCTGGGACAGAGGCAAGCAGTCAGACAGGCCCTGGCCCTTGTGGAGCTTACATTTTAGGGGCAGAGTAGGTGTGAGCAAAAATAATTTTAGACACCGGTAAGTGCAATGAAGGTATCGGGACAAGATTTTGGGGTTGGGAATAACCACCAAGAAATGGGGTGAACAGGGGAGATGCAGGGTCAGGAGGGATGTTTGACCTGAAAGGTGAGGGGAACCCTGTTGGTCAGGACTTTGCAGGTAGAAGAAAGACAAATGCACAGGCCTGGGGTGGAGCCAAGACCCAGGCTGACCCGTGTGGGACAGGTTCATGGGAACTGAGAGCTGGAAAAAGGTAGGACCAGGAGCTGGCGGTGGGCACAACACACTGCTAATTGGGGCCATAGGCATGCAAGGGTTGGTCCCACAGCAAGAGGTCTTCACAGAGGAGCCACAGCTGGGGAATCCCGGTGAGGAGGAGGAGGGGCAGTGTCCACTGGCAACGTCCTGCTGCAGCACATGGGCAGCAGCTTGGTTCTTAGCACTGCAGGGTTACGGCCCCAGGCCTAGCAGGGTCGGCACATTCCACGAGGCATGGAAAGCAGGCAGGTTCTGTTGTTGTTATGTGCCGTTGAGTCAGACCTGCCCCATAGCGACCCCTCCTTGGGCTTCTGAGGCAGTATCACTACTGAAGTAGATTGCCCCACCTTCCTTCTGAGGAGTGGCTGGTGGGTTTGAGCTACCAGCCTTCTGGTTAGCAGTCAAGTGCCTTAGGCACTACGCTACCAGAGCTCCTCAGGCAGGATCTACATGGCTGGAAACCTGCTTGTTTGAGCTACTTTCAAAACAGTGTGATGTGTTATACAAATTGGAGTTTGCGCTGTGGGCTTTGTTTTGGGGTAACAGCCCTCAGCTTGCTGTGAAGATGTCAGCAACAAGGGACCAGTACACAGAGCCGTCTTTGTTGTTTCTGTGACCCGAGTGACAGGAAGGCCCAGGAGGAAGAACATGGTAGTGGCCAGAGGCCACACCCCAGCGCCTCGTCGGTCCTGGGCAGGACCGGGGTCAGTTCTGTGTGTGCTGGGAGCCACTAGTGCCGTCTGGGTGGAGAAGAGATGGACATTGAGATCCCGGTGGACAGTCACATGCTGGTGTCTGGAAACCGTCAGACATGAGGCTGGATAGGTACTGTTAGAGCCGAGGGACTGACTGCACGACAGGGAAAGGTTAGGGGAAGAAGACCAGGGTCCGGCTGCAGTCAGGTGTTTCTCTGAAGACCAGCCCTTGAGCTCCAGGCCTGGGGATTGTGAGCAAGTGTTAGAGCTGGGACTGGGCCATCCTGACAGCTGCCACTTTAATACGTTGCCTCTCAGGGTGACTCCTGAGATTGGAGCCACGGCTTTCGCTCCCCACCACGGCAGATGCGCCAGCATCCTGACCCCGGCTGCTGTGGAGTCGATTCTGCCTCAGTGACCCTATGGGACCATTGGGCTTCCAGACTCACATCTTTATCCTATGGGGCAGCTGATGAGTTCCAACCACTACCGGCCTTAGTAGCTGAGTGCTTAACCGCCGTGCCACCAGGGTGCCTTCGTCTATGCCCAAGAGGCCCCTCTTGCTAAGGCGTGCTGCCTCCCTCCTGTGCCTGTGCTGACCCCTGGGGGCAGTCGCAGCTGAGCCTGCCTGGGGCCCACGCTCTGGTCCCGCCTGCCTCCCCAGCCCCATCTCCCACCAAGCCAAGCCAGTCTCCTTCCCGCCCCCTGGGATTCCTGGGCCTGGCTTCACACCACCCAGTCTCCTTCCCGCCCCCTGGGCTTCCTGGGCCTGGCTTCACACCACCCAGTCTCCTTCCCGCCCCCTGGGCTTCCTGGGCCTGGCTTCTCCACACACCCGGCTCTGTTCGGTCCTTGGGCCCTCCCTGCCACGGTCACAGCCCCCTGGGTCATAACTGCCCTGTTGCCCTGTGAACTGGCTCACGGTCGGCTTGCTGTGTGCCCCAGCCTGGGCTGTGCCTGCCAGTGCCTGTGCCTGTCCTTGGTGCCCTCTGGAAGAGAAGGGTGACAGTGGGCTCGGCGTGTCCCCCTCCCGGTCTCTTCGTTTCCCAGGGTCTCAGTGCATTTGCTGGCAGTTCTGCTCATCTCCGTGTGGTGTGTGTGTGTGTGTGTGTGTGTGTGTGTGTATATGTGTCTGTCAGATGGTGAGGTGGGAGGGGCTGGGGGGCCAAGCAGTGCTGTTTCACTGAGGTCCCAGGGACAGTGAGCAGAAACCTGGTGCAGAGGGATGTGAGACAGGCAGCCGTCAGAGTGGCCCAGGCCTGTCGGCCAGGAGGAAGCCGGCAGGCTGGGAGGGAGGGCAGTGGTGCGCAAGGGTAGCCCGTCAGCAGTGGTGGTCCTCTCTGAAGGAGCCAAAGAGGGGCTGCATTTCACAAAAGCTGGGAGGCTGAGACCTGAGCTGGGTGGGTTCCTGAGGGGAAGATGGTTGGGGGAATGTTGTTTTTGACTCATGTTGTTGAGCCTTGTTTTAGAGACAGGTTCTTCTGAAGTCCAGGAAAAACAAAAAGCCAACAGAACACAGATATAAGTAAGCCTTTGTGTCCCACGTCCAGGTGATGATCGGAACTGCTCTTAACACAAGTGAGATGAGGAAGCTCATCACCCACATGGGCGAGATGGACCACCCCTGGAACTGCCCTCACGGGAGACCAACCATGAGACACGTTGCCAACCTGGATGTCGTTTCCCCAGACTGACGCCGTGGACCTATCATAGAATGACACGTGGTGTGCCAGGTCTCCTCTTCAGAATGGCCATGTTTTCATGGACTTGGTTCAAAATTAACTTGCTACTTTAAAAAAAAAAAGTACCAGATCCTTTTAAAAACTATGGTGAGAACCATTTCGCCCCAGGTGGGGCCTTGTTTGCAACATTTTATGTCACACACCTCGGATGTCTCACGTGTGCTGTCAAGAGCACATTGCACATTAAGGACCGGAAGTTCCCTGGCCTCTTCTCTGCCCGGATGTCATTTAGTCTCAACTTACAGCCTTTCATGATGATTAAATTCGTGTTGGTTTAATGTCATGAATTTAAGGTGACAGTCCTTTTTGGGTTCGTGGTTCTCGACATGCATATGCAGTTTTAAAAAGTAATCATTCAAAAATGCAAGTGGGCTTCCCTGCCTTGCTCGAGAAAATGGTTGGGTGGGCCCACGTATCTATAAACGTTCCTGGGGCAGCCAGTGTGGCAAAGCCCCATCTGGGCAGAGTGAAGGCAAAGATTCCGAATTCTCTGTAACATTAATGCTGTGATTGTCTCCTCGGGGTGTGACCTGTTGTTACTCCTGTAGTCGTGTGCCCAGTTCTGACTCCTGGTGACGCCACGTGACAGCAGGGGTTTCTAGGCTGTCATCTCTACGGAAACATCACCAGCTCATCCACAGAGCCACTAGGTTCAGCCTTCCGTTAGCAGCTGAGGGCTTAACCATTCAGCTACCAGGGCTCCTTGTCCTATAGGAGATGTAATCACTGGCCCTGAATGGTAGTGAAGATTAAAGCTCTGTGGTCTTGTCAAATCGTTTTTATGGCGTCGTCCCGTCTGAATGCTGCCAAAAATGCACACGTGCTGTCTGGATGGCAAACGGTGGTTGGGATCTAGTGAAGACAGGTGTGGGCCCTGCCCTCGCCCCAGCCAGCACGAGTCTGCAGGGGTGGGGCATCCATCTGATGTGACAGGCAGGAAAGGTTTTATTACTGCCACCGACTACACAGCTCTGTGCTGCTCAGGTGTCTGCAGGCTCTCTGGTAAGCACACGAACCCTGCAGGTTGGCCAGAGTAACGGTCCCCCAAAGAAGGCTGTGCCCTAGTCCCCAGACCCTGTGAGATTGTGCCTTATTTGGCCAAGAGGCCTCTGTGGGGGCAATTAAGTTAATTTTGAGCCCAGGGAATGTTCTGGGTTACCCAGGTGGGCCTCGTCTACTCACATGCATCCTTAAAAGGCCTTGGCCGGTGGAGGAGAGGTGGTCACATGCGTCCTTAAAAGGGGAGGTGCTTGGCCGGCTGGGCCTGAGAGCCTTGGCCGGTGGAGGAGAGGTGGACAGAGCCTGGCACTGGAAGCTGGGCGTGCAAGCAAGCTCCACGAGGAGGCAGCCCTGTGGCGCTTCTCACAGCTACAAGGTAATGACTTTGTGCTGCCTTAAGCTGCTGTTTGTGGTGATTTGTTGCAGCAGGAATGGAAAGGAAGCATGAACTGTTTCAGGTGAAGAAACAGGCTGAGGCAACCCAGCAATTAGCTGAGCTGGGATTACTTGGTCAAATGCACCCACCAGAGAGCCCACCTCTGTCTGTTACCGCAAAAATGCCAGGGTTTATGCCCTGTAGCAACGCAGCCAATAGTCTACCAGAGTTCAAGGAGTGCAATTTAATTAGGAGTGCACACGACAGCTGGACAGGGCCTTAATGACTCCAGAGTCATCCGCTCTGTTGACCGTTTTCAGAGGGGTCTTACACTAAACAAGGAGTGGTATACAGCAGTACACGGGGTAATTAACATCTGTTCGAACTGGATAAAACAACACGATTGGCACAGAACAGGCCGTCGGTTCCTGGTACCCCACGCAAGGCTGGCCCTTTCCTTCTTGGGAGATGACACTACTGATTACTGTTGTCAAGGTCCAGGTGGCTAGTCATGAGACTCATCTGTGTCTGCTGACATGCCTGGTCCCATCTGACAGGACCCAGCGGGATAGGTTATCTTTCAGAGGAAAACAAGTTAAAACTGCGCAGGATGAGACTGAAGTCAAGATGGAGGTAGTCTAACCACATGGAGTCAGGCCTAACAGAGCTCCTGCTAGGCGAATGGGTGGGCTCCAAACCAAAGTGGAGTCGATTCCCACTCAGCGACCCCATGACAGAGTAGAGCTGCCCTACAGGGTTTCTAAGGCTGTAATCTCCACGGAAGTAGACAGCCACATCGTTGACCCACAGAGGGGCTGGTGGTTTCAAACCGCTCACTTCTCAGCAGCTCAGTGCTTAAAGAGGGCGTCCAGAGAGGTGGGTAATAGCCTCCACATGAGCTCGAAGTGGGTGAGACCAACGGTGGCTCCTTTTAAGAGCGTAGGATGAGCGTAGGATGGGCGAAGAGAGTTCGTGCCCGAGAGCGGGCGGCGGTTCCTTTAAGAGGACGGCGTGGGCGGGGCTATCAGCAGCCCCTGTAAGGGCATGGTGTGGGCGGAGCGATGATGATGGGCCCGGTGTTTGTGGGGAGGTCAACTGCCCAGTGAAGAGAGTGGTGTGGGCGGGACGGTGCAGGAGGCTGGGCGGTGGTTGCTGGGAGACCGGACGCGGGCAGGCCCTGCGCCACTTCTGCCTTTTGCGGGACTTACCTAAGCCGCTGGCTCCCAGCACCCGGGGCCGGTGGTCCTTTCTCGTTGCAGCCAGACAGAGGCGGCCCTCTGGAACCTGAACGGGTGCGTGACAGGTGAGGTGGTGGTTGTTGTTGTTAAGTGCCGTCGAGTCGTTTCCGACTCATAGCGGCCCCATGCACAGCAGAACGAAACACCACCCTATCCCGCGCCAGCCCCACAATCCCTGCTATACTTGAGCCCATCATTTACAGTTTAAATTTCGCTGATGGAGGACCAGGGAGTGAAGTCCTGACCGAGTTCGGAGCGAGGACAGCTTGGCCTGGATCAGTGCTCCGGGAAGGCCTGGAAAGAGCGTGGGGACTGTGAAGGGAGCTGGCGGGCGGGCAGAGGAGGGTGTGGGCGCGCGGGGGCGCACGGGCTGGACCACACTCTGCTTTGCACCCCAGGTCAGTGCATCCTGTGAGATGCACTGGGGGGAGGGCTTTGGGGAGCCCCAGTTTTGGAGGGCCCTGAAACCTGGCTTTGGAAGCATGTTCTCAGCTCTGTCTTTGGGTAACTTTTAGCAGACAGTTTCTTGTCTGGTGTGTAAGAGACATTTGGTAAATGGTGGTAATGTATCAGAGTAGGCAGCCATGAGTTCACTTCAAAAACGGGGCCTGTCGGGCTACCACTGTCATCCACTTGGAAGGCGATCTATGTAGGAGATCCTTAATAGAGAGGGAGAACAATGTGGAACAAAACTCAAAAAAGGGAGGGGGGGACCAGGTTTGCTGGTCCAATAGAGCCTGGTGGAACCACTGAGACTATGGCTTCTAGCTGCCCTTCAGATCTGGAATTGAACCCACACCTGTAGTTTCCAGCCAAACAAAAGACAGGCATATGAGTTGAACATTTACCTCAAGTGGGTATACTCCTTGGAGAGAACAATCACGGGAGAAGGAAGGGCTGTTTATGCACAGGGAGACAGCTCAGGGGGCTAGGAGAGTATGGAGAGATGGACACTGGGAAGAGGTAACTATGGGGAGGAAGTAGGAGGGGAGCTGTTGCATTGTGGGAAACTGTGGTCAATGTCATGAGACAAAGTATATGTGAACAGCTGTATGGAAAGTAAATTTGCTCTGTAAACCTTCACCCAAATCACAATAAATAAATAAATACATAAGTAAATAAATAAAACGACCAAAACCAGGGCCCGACATAAAATAACCAATCCATTGGCTGACACTGGGGCTGCGTCCTGTCCTGCCCTTTGGGGATTTTCTGTGCGGGGTCTCTAATCCTTACAGAGACAGGGTCATAGATACCTGAGGCAGAGGGAGATTAAGTAACTCACTCAAGGCCACCTGCTGGTGAGTGACAAACCGGAGCAGGAGCCCCGCTCTGGACCACTTTGCAATGCTGACCCTAAGCGGAGGGCTTTGAAAGTGTGAAGTGGTGGCACACAGGACCCTAGAGAAGGTCCCTGGGTGGTGCGAGTGGTTTGTACTTACTTGGCGACTGGCACCCACCCAGCAGCACCCCAGAACAAAGGTCTCGGGATCTGCGTCTGTAAAGATGACGCTAGAAAAACCCCAGGAGCAGCCGTGCTCTACAACACGGGTCCCTGTGGGTCAGAAAAGACAGCAGCAGGTGCGGGATGGGCCTTGGAGGTTAAGTAGCCATTTTTCATCCATAGCGTCCCCCTTCTTATGGGCACAGGGTTTGATAAGGAATATGATGTGGACTAGTTGGTGCCAAGTAAAAAAAAAAATAGTTGTCGATTGCTGTCGAGTTGGCCCCTGACTAATGGTAGCCCGTGAACGACAGTAGCAGAATGTCGCTGGGCCCTGCACCAGCCTTGGGATCGGGGTGGATCAGCGCGTTGTACCCTGTAGGGTGCTCATTGGCTCATTTTTGGAAGTCGATTGCCAGGCCGTCCTTCCTAGTCCATCTCGGTCCAGAAGCCCCGCTGAGACCTGCTGGGGACCCTACCAACACGCACGGCCCCACTGACAGATGGGGAGATGGGGTGGGGACGCGTTGATGGGGCGGAGAAATAGGAACAAGTGAAGCGATTTGACAATGGTGTCATTAGGAGCTCTGGTAGCATAGTGCCTAAGGCACTTGATTGCTAACCAGAAGGCTGGCGGTTCAAATCCACCAGCCACTTCTCAGAAGTAAGGTTGGGCGATCTACTTCCATAGTGATACTGCCACGGAAACCCAAGGAGGGGTCGCTATGAGTTGGAGTCGACTCAACGGCAAATAACAACAACAACAACTTGTCATTAGCTTTGCAGGTTTTAGGGGGAGAATGAAATGGCGTCGAGATGGGAACTAACGATTTACTAAGTGAAAGCCTCAAGTATTTAGAGAGCATTTTTATTTTTCAGGTAAAACTCATCGATGATGAAACAGCTCGCGACCAAAGGCAGGATTTGACACGTAATTTTAGAAAGTAAACTTGAATCTCTTATAAAGTAACTTTTAATCTCCCAAAGGCGATGGTGAGAGAAAAGAAAAAACCGGACAGGAAAGGGGATAAGTCGGCGCGCTCCCCGTCGTCCATCAGCGACTGCACGGACTTTTCCAAACAAGACGCCAGCGCCGCCCCGCAGGACGTGCCCCTGCCTCTGAGCGGCGCCCCAGCAGTGGAGAGTCAGCCGAGCGAGACGGGCCTCAAGAGGGAGTCGGAGCGAGATGCGCCGAAGAGCGAAGACACCGCTCAATACGAGGAGCCCGTTCTGACCAGACTCATCGTGGAGAGGTGGCGGGGTGGGGATGGGTGCAGGAGAGGTGGCGTGAGTGGGTGCCGCAGAGGCCGTGTGAGTGGGGGTGCCAGCCTTGCAGCTTCTCAGTCGCTGCCTCAGAGTTGACTTTTCTTCCAGCACTTGGACCCTTGTGCTCTTTCCCCTCTGTCTTTGTTATTTTGCTGTCGTGCCGACTCCTGGCGACCTGGTGTAGGGACGATTGAGCTCCGTGAGATTCTCGGGCTGCTTTTTCGGAAGTCGATCACCAGGCCTTTCTTCCGAGGTGCCGCCTAGGGGACCGGCACCTCCACCTTTCTGGTCAGCAGCCGAGTGCGGTAACCGTTTGCACCAGCCATCTTCTTTCTTGTGGTGAAGAGGTCCGTGTCAGTACATTCACCAGTCCCACGGCTTCCACGTGAAAGTTCAGTGGGGTGGGTTACATTCTTCATACCGTGCGGCCCTTCTCACTGCCCTTCTCTGAATCCACCAACGTTAATGTGAGCTCCGTGCTCCCAGGCCGAATTCTCCCTCCTCCTCTGCCCATCCCCTGGTGACGACCGGTGATCTTTGTTTTCTGTGTCTTTGCTCATCCGGCCGACGTGAGATCATATGGTCTTTGTCCTCTGGCAGCTGGCTGACTTCACCTGGCATGTCTTCAGCGTCATCCGTGTGCGGGCGTGCATCAGGACCTCGTTCCTCTGTGTGGCTGAGCGGTTTCCTCGTGCAGGTGGACCCCGTTTTGTCGAGCGCTTCATCTGTTGATGGATGTGTGGCTGTTTTCCCGTTTGGCTGTTGTGGAAAGTGCTGTCCTGAACGTTGGTGTATGGATGGGTTTCTGTCTGCGTTCCTGCCTTCCCGTCTGGGGGACAGGTATGTGTCACTTAGCGTCCACCAATCCGTTTGTGAAGTAGGACATAATGTGATTTGGACGTTGTACATATGCCATATTAAAACATGGGAGCCGGCTTCTGGTCTCGCTCACTCATGGCAGAGGCCAGAGGACCTGGTGGATCCATGGAGTAAGAAGAAGTGATCTGTCCCACTCGCTGTTTCTCCCTCCTGGGAAGCAGGAGCAGCCCCCCTACCCCCACTTCCTGCTTGTGGGACAAAGCCCCAGAGTCCACATCTAGAGCCGTGTCCTCTGCCTCGCTGCCTGGGTCTCCTCTGTGGCCCAGTGCTGCAAGGCTGTGGGTTGGCATCATTTCTGCAACACTGCCCCCCCCTTTTTTTGTGTGGGCTTGACTTCTTGGTGACCACATTGCTAGTGCCTGAATTCTCACAAGGTCTTCAGGAGCCTCAAGTTCATAAGAAACAGAGAACTCTCAGGGTGAGGTCACCAGGCCATTGCCACCGTGCTGAGGCCGCTTCGGCCTGCCTGTGCCTTGGGTGGCAGCCACTGCTTGAAAGTAGCATTCGTTTAGAATCCTGCTTATCTGCAGGAGAGTAACTGAACTATGGATGCCAGTTTAGTTCTTCTGGGATTGCAGGATTTTTTTTTTTTTTTTTTTCCTGCTATCCTCTTGGAATAATTTTAAAATAACATCTTGAAACAAATTGTGTATTTTAATTGCTAATCTGTTTTTTTTTTTTTTTTTTTCCTGCTATCCTCTTGGAATAATTTTAAAATAACATCTTGAAACAAATTGTGTATTTTAATTGCTAATCTGACATCAATGAAGAGCACTTTAAAAAAAAAAAAAAAAGAATCTAGGCTTGGGGTCTTGAAACCATTAGGAGGAAATAACCAAAGGAGAGCTGGTTTCCCTTCAGACCAAACACAAAGCATTATGGGAGCACAGACGTCGTATGTGTGCTCAGATGTCATACAAACAGACGTTAAGTGCCGCATACTTGTGGACCTACGGTTGGAATTGCTGGGTCATATGGCGGGTTCTGTCTTTGACTTTTTCAGGAACCCCCAGACCATTTTCCACAATGGCTGCACGTTTTCCACTCCTGCCCTGAATGGGGAAGGCCCTCGTGTGTTTTTATTATTGTCACATGTTTCTCTCCCCACCTCAGAAAAACACCCCGTTTCCAGGTGTCTGTGTTGTGCTGGCGAGCTCACAGCCCCTAGACTTCACCGTGTTTCTTGGGCTGTCCACACTCCTAGACGGCTCCACCCTGTGTCTCGGACCTGCCCCTTTTGGTCCCATTGCTGCTACTCTTAGGTGGTCTGTTCTCTCAGAAGGCACTCCAGTGGTGCTGTGGTTAAGGCATTAGGCTGCTGACACCAGGTTGGCAATTTAAAGCCATGAGGTGCTCCACAGGGAAAAGATGGGGCAGTCTGCTTCTATAAAGATCGACAGCCTTGGAAACCCTGTGGGGGTCACTGTGAGTTGGACTTGACTTGATAACAGGGCTGTGGGGGGTTCTCTCTTGGAAATCTCTTATTTTACCTTTAATTTTATGGTTAGAAAGGGTAGCTGGATTGTATCTGATGACTCTTGGGCATCTCCATATAAGCGTTAGGTCTGCCATCTTTAATTTATCGATGCAGTGAACCCCATTTGTAGTCTTGTTGAATCTTCTGGGCATCTGGGGTAAACCCACTGGGTCCTGGCAGTCACAGGCTTCCTGTGCCTTCCCCCTACCATCTCCTGGGAGCCTCAAGGTGACCAGTCATACCTCACCCACCAACCTGAGCTCACAGAGCACTGGGCCCAAGCTGGGTCCCCAGGGGTGCAGGTGGTGTGTGATCAACTGCCCATCTGATGGACGGGGGTCGAGCCCACCCGGCGGCTCTGTGGAAGAAAGCCCTGCCAATGTGTTTCCATCCAGAGCCCAATTTTACTCTGTCACCCACAGGGTCACCATGAGTCAGAATCAACTCAACGGCAGTGAGTTTGGGTTTGGTTTTGGTTTGGGGTCAGGAGCTCCCAGGTGTGCAGATGGTTAAGGCATTCAGCTGCTAATAGAAAGGTGGGAGTTCTCGTCCACCCAGAGGCATCTGGGAAGGAAAGCCTGTGATGTGCTTCGGAAAAAGTGACACGCACGTGGTTGGCGTGAGTCGGAGCGGAGGCCACGGCAAACGGCGCCTGCTCTTTTTCGTTGTCGTTTTCCTTGAGCCCTCCTTTCCCGTTGGCATCCCCTGCTGCCTGCGTGCCCAGACCTCGCCTGAACCTTCCGTTTCTCTTCCGTCCACTCTGGCCACTCGTCGCCCGCCCGCCACCAGGAGCTCTCGGGGCAGCTGCGGGAGGTGCCTGTGTCCCCAGGGCAGCGGTGTTGGCTTTTGAACCTGAATCTCATCATGTCCGCCTTGGCCCCGAACGCCCACGGCTGGGTCCTCGCGAACCTTTGGGTTTTGTTCTCAGTCTCTGCCACGGCCCACACAGCCCACCCTGCTGGCTCCTGCCTCCTCGCCCTCCCGCCTCGCCGGCCGCTCCGGCTGCACCGCTCGCCCTTGGGTTTGCCAAGCTGGAGACACCAGGCCCTTCCCCGCCTCGGGACCTTGGCTTGGCTGCTCCCGTCCCTGGAGCCCTCAGAGTCCGTCTCGTGGCTGTTTGTCTCCTGTCCTTCCCTCTCAGCTCCTGTCTTGTCCCCAGGCCTCACCTGGACTGTGTACAGCAGACACCTCGTTAGGCCCACTCTCCTGCCTCTCACAGGTGCTGCACCAGGCCTGGCGTTTTCCTGCTCATTGGCTTCCTTGTTTGTTGTCCGTCTCCCGTCCACAGACCAGAAGCTCGTAAAGGCAGGAACGGCCCAGGCTTGTCCACAGCTCTGTCCCTAGTACTTCGAGGAGGACAAGCCCCTGGTGGCACCGGCAGATGTTTGTTGAATGAATGCATGAGTGTAAGATATACTTTACCCCTCAGCGACAGGAATCCAGTTTAACCCTCTGTCAGCCAGCCTCCTTGTTGTCACTCACCAGCTTTCTCTCTTTGTAGCTACAAAGGGGAGAAGGTCCGTGGGCTGTACGAGGGCGAAGGCCTTGCAGTCTTTCAGGGAGGTTGTGTCTACCAGGTGAGTTTTAGGTTTTGGGACCTGGTGGGGTCGGGAGGAGAGTGGGGCTGGGTGGGTGGTTGGAGTTGCATCTTCAGTAATGGCCAGTGGTTTTCCAGAGGATACTGGGAGTCTTTTGTGCCGGTTTTATTTTGGACGCGGACTATACTGAAGGTAGAAATATGGTTCAGTGTAACCAGCCTTGAATGGCACAAACAGTTAAGCGCTCGATGATGGGCCAGAAGGGTGGCAGCTCGAGCTCATGCTGAGGGGCCTTGGAAGACAGGTGGGTGATCTGCTTTGGGAAGGTCACGGCCATGAAAAGCCTGCAAGGCGCAGTTCTGCTCTGACACATGGGGTTACCGTGAGGCGGGGTGACGGCGACTGCCAGCCGCCCCCAGCAGTCAGGTTACCTTGCTCCTATTTATTGTGCTGACAACATCAAAACTCACTGCCCTCGAGTCGGATCCAACCCGTAGTGACCCCTCCTTGGGTTTCTGAGGTGGTATCATTACAGAAGTAGATTGCCCAACCTTCCTTCTGAGGAGTGGTTGGTGAATTTGAACCACCAGCCTTCTGGTTAGCAGTCAGATACTTTAGGCACTATGCCACCAGAGCTCCTGACAACATCAAGGTCACTTAATAAAGAATGAAGAATCAACTCCCTCGGGTGGCACTCTAAGGAGCTCTGCTAGTTATAGGTCTGCCATGGTTAAAGCATTGGGCTTTAACCAAAAGGTCGGGGGTTTGAACCCACCAACCGCTCCATGGGAGAAAGAGGAGGCAGTTGGCTTCTGTAAAGATTAAAAAACCAAAAACCAAACTCACCGCCGTCAAGTCGATTCCGACTCTCAGTGACCCCCTTTGGTTATCCGAGGTGGTAAATCTTTACGGAAGCAGACTGCCCAGTCTTCCTTCTGCAGAGCGGCTGGTCCACAAAGATCACAGCCTTGGAAACCCTGTGGGGCAGTTCTCTGTCCTTTCGGGATTCTGTGGGTCAGAATTAACGCCACAGCAGTGGGTTTGGTTTGGGGTTAGGATTGATCCCCACCCTGTTGCCGTAGATGTTGCGTTTTTCTCTGGCCCTTTTGTCCCTTGGATGGCTGGGTCAGCATTCTTACACACGTGTTAGTTTTTTAATTTTTTTTATCGTGATTTGGGTGAAAACTTACAGAGCAAATACACTTTCCATACAACAGTTCACATACACTTTGTCTCATGACATTGACCACAATTTCCCACAATGCAACAGCTCCCCTCCCACTTCCTCCCTACAGTCACCTCTTCCCTGTGTCTGTCCCTCCATGCACTCCTGCCCCTGAGCTGTCTCCCTGTGCAGAAACAGCCCTTCTTTCTCCCATGATTGTTCTCTCCAAGGAGTGTATCTACCTCAGGTAAATGTTCAACTCACATGCCTGTCTTTTGTTTGGCTGGAAACCATGAGCATGGGTTCAACTCCAGACCTGACGGGCAGCTAGGGGCCATAGTCTCAGTGGTTCCACCAGGCTCTATCGGCCCAGCAAACCTGGTCCCCCCCTTTTTTTTTTCCTCCAAATGATTTTGAGTTTTGTTCCACATTGTTCTCCCTCTCTATCCAGGATCTCCTACATAGATCCCCTTCCAAGTGGTTGACATTGGTAGCTGGGCACCATCTAGTTCATCTGGTCTCATAGTCATATAGGCTGCAGATCACATGGTGTACTAGTCACTAGGACTAATTGTTTCCATGATTTTTTTTTTTCCCCACTCTTCTTTGCTCTGGACAAGGAGAGACCCATCATTGCATCTAGATGGCAGCTTGCAAGCTTTTAAGATCCCAGTTGCTACTCGCCGAAGTAGGAGGTAGAACAATGCTTTGTGTAGTATGTTATGCCAATTGAGCTTGATGTCCCTTGTGACTATGATCCCAAGCCCGCAGGTTCAACTACTCACTCCCTCTGGGTAGCTGGCTGTGACCAAGAAGTGACTACAACCTTGTCCCTTGTCAGCTCTACTATATACCTGGGAATTCAGAACATGCATTGGTTTTGTGGCTAACACTTGGAATCTTTCTCCGTTTTGTGCCTCTTTCTCTGCATGGCTGCCCGGCCATTGTCGCTGTTTTTTTATCTCAGTTTTAATTTCTGACTTAAGGCTGTTCTGGAGTTGTTGGGTCGCTGTTTCCTCCATTCATCACACCCAAGTGAGGACTTGTGTTTGCGTGTGCCTTCTGACTCTCACAGAAGTGTGCTTACCGTGGGAGAGCGGGCTTTGGTGGCGGAGGTCGCCAGGCAGGGGCTTTAGCGCCCTTATTTTCCTGGATTTTTCAGATGTTCATTCTCTTACGTCCCAAAAACTTTTCAGAAACACCACAGGTAACGGCTGAGTGGCTCCCAGGAAAATGACTGAGTCAGTTAAGATTCCGCTCATTATCATGAATATTGTTCACTCGGATAACGTGCGTTAAAGTTCATCCGTTAAAATGGCTCTTCATTCAATATTCAGTAAAATGGAAGATAACGCCCATTACAACAGTCGGGTATTCTTGACATCCCACGACTCACCCGGCCTGTCCCATGACCTGCAGGGTGTTTCGTGGACTTGGGTGATGTCTGCTGTCATCTCTGGGGTGTTTATGCACAGTCCTGGGGCCTGACCAAGGTCACCAGGTGGCGAAAATGGTTTACACTCATCTGCTGACCCAAAGGTTGGTGGTTAAAATCCAGCCGGTAGGACCGTGAAGGAGTCAGTGTGACTGGGATCTGGTGGCAGTGGATTGCCAGGCCTTTCTTCCAAGGTGCCTCTGGGTGGGTTTGAACCACCAACCAGTCCATCAGCCTTTGGGTCAGTAGCCAATCACTTAACCGTGTGTGTCACACAGGGATTCCTTTTTCTGTTGTAGCTTGTTGAAGAGAAAAGTGGTGGTGGTTGTGAATGGGCTACACCAGTGAGTAGGGAGGGTCACTGGCTGTGAGGTGAGAAAGGCTGGGCTGTCCCACTTCCCTTCCTGCCGGCCCTGTCGAGTCCCCATGAACCTACCTCAGTCAGACAATTGGTGTCCATGGCGTTGAAGTTGAGGGTGGGCGTGTGTGCGTGCATGTGTGTGTGTGTGTGTGTGTGCACCTGTATGTTGTGAGCTGCTGTCAGGTTGGGGCCTGGCTCCTGACAACCCTTTGCCCCATGGGATGAAGTGCTGCCAGGCCCTGGCCCAGCCCCTCTGTTGGTTGGGGATCAGACTGTGGGGCTCCCCGGGGTTTCCATTGGCCGACTCTTGGAAACATCCCAGGCTGTTCTAGTCCGTCTCAGCGTGGAAGCTCTGCTCAAACCCACTGAGCATCACAGCAGCACACAGCCTTCTGCTGACAGACGGGCCATGGCTGTGCACGAGGTGCATGGCCGGGAATCGAACCTGGTCTCCACACGGGATGCAAGGATTCCACCCCAGAACCACAGTGTGGTTCCCGCAACCAGCAGCAGCAGCACCCCTGTGAAGTTTTTAGAAACGCCAGCTCTCGGACCCCCCTCCAAACCCACTGATGCATCCGATCTCGGCGGTGGGCCCAGCAGTCTATGTGTTAACAAGCCCCCAGGTGGTTCTGATGCCCAGTAGGCTCAGAGAACCACTGCGTTAGGGCGCTGTTTAAGTAGACTTTGTCCACCTGAGTTCTCTCCTTCACTCACCCCGTTGCCACCAGGTGATTCTGAGAGAGAACTGGAAACAGCTGCTTCAGTGTTGACTCCAGTTGCCTTTAGACATCCGATGGGTTCTGTGTTTAAGACCACTTCCTGTGTGTTAACAGTGGACGCTCTAAATCGATGGATGTTTAACTGCTGGGAGTCCTTGGCTGGTGCAAATGGTTTATGGACTAGACTGCTAATGACATGGCTTACGGACCAGACTGCTAACCAAATGGCTTATGGACTAGACTGTTAACCTGTGGCCGCAGGTTCTCGTCTACCCAGAGGCACCCTAGGAGAGAGGCCTGCAGATCAACCTCTGAGGAACCAGCCACTAAAGACCCCGTGGACCTCAGTCCTACCGTGACACACACAGCGTCGCCATGAGTTGGAATCAATCAACTTGATGGCAGCTTTTTTCTTTTAATACCTTGTCCCAGTGACGGACAACAGACAGAAAATTTGTTTGAAAGTGACATTTACAAATGTAATAATTTGTTTTTATGTATGTTGTTGTCATTGTTGGGTGCCATCTAGTTAGTTCCGACTCACAGTAACCCTGCGTACAGCGGAATGAAATACTGTCCAGTGCTACACCATCCTCAAATCCTTGCTGTACCTGAGCCCATCATTGCAGCCACTGGGTCAATCCATCTCATTGAGGTTCTTCCAGTTTTTCTCTGACTCTCTACCAAGCTGGTGGCGTAGTGCCTAAGGCATCTGACTGCTAACCAGAAGGCTGGTGGTTCAAACCCACCAGCCACTCCTTGGAAGGAAGGTTGGGCAATCTACTTTTGTAGTGATACACTCTTGGAAATCCAAGGGGAGGGGTTGCTATGAGTCGGATCCGACTCAACAGCATTGAGTTTGGTTTGGTTTGGTTTTTTGATATCCTTCTCCAGGGAATGGTCCCTTCTGACAACATGACCAAAGTAGGTGAGATGAAGTCTGGTCATTATTGCATCCAAGGAGCATTCTGACTGTACTTCTTCCAGGACAGATTTGTTTGGCAGTCCCTGCTACTTTCAGTATTCTTCGCCAACATCACAACTCAAAAACATCAACTCTTGGCTCCTTATTCATTGTCCAGCTTTCACTGCGTATGAGGCAATCGAAAATATCCTGGCTTGGATTGGGCACACCTTAGTCTTCAAGGAGACATCTTTGCTCTTCAGCACTTTAAAGTCTTTTGCAGCAGATTTGCCCAGTGCAATATGTCTGATGTCTTCACCGCTGCTTCCATGGGTGTTGATTGTGGATCCAAGTAATATGAAATCTTTGACAACTTTAATCTTTTCTCCTTTATCATGATGGTATTTATTGGTCCAGTTGTGAGGATTTTTGTTTTCTTTATGTTGAGATGT